CTTTTCAGTGCTTAGAGTGCAAGAATTGGCATACAGGAGGCAATTTGCAAGCACATCGCCTCACGCACAAACGCATTGGTGAATATGAATATCTGTGCTCCAAGAACCTCAAGCTTCCCTCGCAGAGAGGTCTTCAACGGAATCAATCGTGTCAACACGTCGCGCACCCAGGTGGCATATGGCTGGTTAAACGCGAACTGAAGGCAACGTCGTGCTTCCCTAAGGCTTAAGTTGGTCCAATGAATGGACTTCTCGTTTCTGCTGCACCGATTTTGCACATTCTTGCCGTGCTTACATGGACATATTCACGCATTCGTGCACCAATATGGTCCCGTTTGTGCAGATGGCATTCTATAAGCGAGTTCGCCGAAAGCCTGCAGTCAAAGGACTGGGAGATGGTGAGGAGTTGCTTCCAATGAATAAGCTCCACATATACTCTGGGAGAGACGGGCAAGCTATCTGTGAGCATACTCAGCTACCACGTTCAGAGCTCAGCGAGCTATACTTGGGTATCAAACGCTAAACACAGTGAAACAAGTGGTCATCATTCCCCGATCCAAAAGGAGTTCCGATTCTGCGGCGTTGGGGACGACGAGTACGAAGAGGCTGCTAAAATCTCAGGGCCATTCTATACCTAAATCGCAAAGGGCTAATGTGATGATCTGCAGCTATAATGCATGCACACTTGTATATGAGTCCTCGATCGAAAACTTGATCATATAAGTAAGAAGGATAAGGTTCCACATCATCGCACTGTCTGATAAGAGAATACGTCACCCATTCAACGCCGTATATAACACCAAAGTAGAACAGCTCCTAGGAAAAGGCGAAAGTAAAAGAGTGCCTTCATTTCTTTATTCATTTCCATTGCTTCATCCACTGAGCCAGAATGCTTAATATATAGTAGACCACTGCTCCTTCACATAGGGATCTCATGTCGGTCAAGCACAAGGCAACGCAACGCATTCCCAGGTGGCAGATAAAGAGTTAATCGCGGACCGAAAGTGACCTTTGCTCCCCTAAGACGCCGGTGGATCCAGGGTATGGACTCCATTTTTCTGCTGTGTCGATTTAGCACATACTTTCTGTATTTGCTAGGCGTATCCATGCATGCGTGTGTGGGTGCATTCTCGCTTATGCAGATTGTATTCTACGAGTCAATTCGTCCAAAAGTCTGCAATCAAGTGACAGGGGAGTATATCGGGGGTGGTTAGGAGTCGCTTCCAACAAATACTCTCCGTGTATACTCCGAGGGAGAGAGGGAGATTAGCAAGCTAGCCGTAAATATACCCATCTCCAACGTCCAGAGACGAGCAAGCTATATGTGGGTATCAAAAAACTAGACAAAGTAAATTAAACGGGCCTCATTCCCCTGATCCCGAAAAAGCCCACGATTCGGCAGCGTTGGGTAGGACGAGTACGGAGGGCTGCTAAAATGTCAGAGCCATTCTAGGTTGCCTAAATCGCAAAAGAACTAAGGTGATCTGTACCTACAATGCGCGCACACATGCATCTGAGTCCTCCATAAAGGACTGGATCGTGCAGACAAGAAAGATAAGGTAAGGCATCAGTAGACTGCCTAAGACGAGAAGACACCAACCATTCAACGCTTTTTGTGACATCAGAGAAGAACTCGCTCCTCATGGGAACATGCAACAGTGCAAGGCGTCGGCGGCGTCGGCGTTTTGTGAAAACGGGTTTTGCTACGAGCATCGATCCATTCGACCACCCAATAATCCGAATTGGAGGTTTGCAATTGAAGAAATATGGATTAATTCTGGCTTTGACAATCGTCTCTCCATCGTTTACGCACCGACATCCAGCTATAATGAATATGAAATCAAAACATTCTATGTGGACTTGAGAAGTTCTACAGAGAAGACTACACTCTTTAAGGTCATCATTGGAGATTTTAAGGCTGTGGTTGAACACAGATGAACGTCATACCAGAACCCATGGATTAGAGTGGAACGAGCAAGGTTGCGGATACTTGGGTTTATCATGACGACCAAGACCATTCATGATAACTTGCAATTCTAGAAACCTTACGCTCAACGCTTGACGTTACAGCCTCCCATTGGAGAGTACCATAACGAAATAGACCGCATCATACTGAATGTAAAGCTTTGCCTAACCGATGTCGCTGTTTCCCTAAAATTCAACACAGGATCAGACCAATGCCACCTTCGTAGAAGATTGCATTTCTCGCGGAAAGAGCTGCTAAATTCAAAAACCGAAGTCCCAAAACCCTTAAATTAGGATTTGTTCAGTTTACTAGTCGGTTTTTGCGAAGATTCCATTGTTGATAACATCGACGTTGAATACGTTGGCTCGTTGAACATCTTCAAGTTAGCGCTGTGAGAGCCGACAGCTCGAAAGTCACCAACAGACGTTTTTCTCCAGAAACACTCGAGCTGATACGCCAGCGTGGAATCTCAGGAGTTGCAGCCACCAACTTACGACCGAGCTTGCAAGACGATGCAAACAGGTGATAAGGGAAAAGCTTAAAGTTAGAAACAGAAGACTGCTTAAGAAGAGCAGCAGTTATGTTTAAGCTGCGGATGTTCGGAAAAGTATTCGCGAACCCCTCCGAAGCTTCGCCAATTAGAAGAACAAGATCATCGCACTTCGGTGCCCATGGAAAAATTGCAGTTTCCAGAAAGCCACTGGAGAAAATCTGCAGTCGTAGGAAACAAAGGAAGGTGGCGTCCCATCGGTTCACCCTCTCGAATTTCAACGTCTTATTTTGTCGGTGGAGAATCGAACAATACGTAGTCCAGACAGGATAAGATTTAAACACCTGGAAAACCTTCCGCCAGTCCTCATAAATACATTGACTCGACTTTTCACATGTTACCCTCAATTTGCTTGCTGTCTGTCGTCTAAAAACTCTCCACTTGAGTCATCCTAGAAGGAGTGAGAGAGTAGTGGACGAAGAAGAGGCATGTAAGCAAGCAGGATTTCGAAAAGGATTCAGCACGATGGACCATATCCACACGGCAAGTAGAATCATTGAAGTATCGGAGATTATAAGAGACCGCTCCCTCTCACTTCTATCGATCTTCGTGAACCGTATAAAAATTTTACAATAAAGATATAACCATTTTATAACACAGTAACATCGACGTAAAAGAGAGCTTAGGCAAGGCGATAGCATTTCACCAAAATTATTCACCATCACCTTCGAGAACGTCATTCGAGCATTGGAATGGGACAATAAGGGAGTGAAAATCGATGGTTGGCAGTTAAATCATCTTCGCTTTGCTGATGATATCGTTCTTATAGCACCAAACACTAGCCAAGCGGAACGTATGCTTGACGACTTTGATAAAGCCTGTGGAAAGATTGGTCTTCGACAAAATCTCACAAAAACGATGTTCATGATGAACGGATTAGTTTCGCATGCCCCATTCACGCTCAACGGAACGAATATCTCCGAAGGCTTCAGTTATGTCTGTCTAGGTCAGGAAATCAACATGGTGAATAGCTTAGAGTTGAGCAGGACGAAGTCGGCGACTTGAGGAGCTTTCAAGGGCATCGAGTACGTAGTGAAAAAGACAAAGAACGCACGAGGCAGCGCCTACCTTTTCGACTCCATTATTCTCACTGGGCCAGAAGTCGTTTCGTGGCAAGATGAAAGATCACTCAGCTTTGTATAACGCACAATAGGAAGGACGAGGTGTCTATCGTCTCCCTCACACAATTGAGAGAAAGGGACAACTGTTGGACAAGCGCGGTTAGGGAAAGCGTTCCTTGAGATGTCAAACGCACAGCAGGAGAACCACCGATCCGATGGTCAAAGTGATTCACGAAAACACTAGATGAAAAATATGGCGCTCAGGGAATTCTTGAAGCAAGCAGAACCCAATGGTTTACCCATGTACCTGTATGGGAGAAATGGAAAATTTACTGCCGTGACCAACGGGACGTCAGATGATACTGGTGATGATGATACTCAAAGAAATAACTCGATCCAGAGAACCAAAGGCATGTGGTTTGTTCCTTATGCACTTGTGTCCCAATACAACCATATGGTCGCTTTTGGATCGCGCTTGCTATTTGCTCCACCAGAAAACATGCCAGCTATCTATGCAACTAGCTGACGCGAAATTTCTTTCATGAGGGACCTCTGGGCCGATCAAGTGCCATCATCTCCGTGTATCTTCACGACAACGGAACGAATGGAGAAAATGTTGCGGCATGAGCAATTTTATTTTAGTCTTGCTTTCCATGTTTATTGCTTTAAAGTGTTCGTGCGGTGCTTAAGAAAGTAATACACAGTTTTACACTCTGCTAAACCGACTTTCCCTTAACCTCGACGTGAATGATCTACATATTTCTGTAGACGTTTCAGCTCACACGGATTTGCTATATAAGTTTTTATTCGGCTAATGTTTCGATGTCCTCGTCTTCTTCAGAGCCAATGATCCAAGTCGATGGTCCACAGTTGTTCGCCTTCGCTGTGTGAGTTTTAGCAGTCCTCTCGACTTGAATGTTTTTGAAGTTTTACGCTTTGTATTCCACGTGTTATTTGACACCATTTGTAGATGAAAGGTAGGAAATCTAGAGGAAACTGTATAGGTACATAGGTGTATAGCGTCGCTGATGCGCGTACAACTATGTAGGGGTCAAATTGTTATCGTGATCGATGGGATTGTGAATATCAACGACATCGGGTCATATCTCCTCTATAATCGATGAGATTGCTATCTGAGGAGGAAAGAAAGGTCAAATCAACTGCACTTCACCTAACGTCGCCATGCAGAGCACTTTTATACTCCTCTTCATAACATGTTCGCAAGCAAGCGGGGTAGGTTTCATTCGTAGAAGTCTTCTCTCTTGTTGATCTCTTGTTGAAAGATCTCGTATTGTATTTCGTTTTTTGAGTTGGATCAATGAGTTTTTAGTACAACTATAACTCATTAGCCGAGGTAAATAATAACCAATAATTAAGAACACTTTTAACTGCTTAAAAAATTCAGCGCAACATCTACTCCGACATGTTGACAGAGAATTCACCGTTTGCTGATGCCGCCTCTATCGACCGCCACTTGGGGAATATGGCTAAACTGAATGAAATCCAAAGCAAAATCTTTGGAATAAGGGTGAGTTTAAATTGCACTTCCACAAAATTTTCAACATTAGGATTCGTGACAATCTTACGACAAGCAAGTTACACTTGGGCGCGGGTAGCGCAGTAGTAAACATGTCGCTAAATTCGCAAGGGCGTGGTTCGACCTCACCGTGAGCCAACGGAGCCTCCTACCTCTCGAAGGGAATGAAATAAACACCACATTTGTCTATGATGGGCTCTGTTCGATTCACAAACAATGGTGACTGCATGTGATGTAGACCTGCGAACGCCATAGTACAGCCAAATCACGATTGAGCACTGAAATTCTCCAAGGAGCAGGGGAACCAACACGAGAATCTGAAGATCTTCGTGGATGACGAGGATACGAATTGAATGAAAGAAATTCTGGGATACACATAATATGTGATGCCGCTTGTCTTAAAAAGAAATTGCACCATGGCTCTCTTATAGTGCTATTAATTTTTTCATTAATTTTTCACATTTTTTTCAAATACCTTTAGTGATTTATTACTAAAGAGTAATGACGAAAATAATGAAAGACCATGCATAGAGGTTTACTTTAGCCTACTTCCCGAGACCAACTACCATTCGAAGAGGAGCCGGCAAAGCCTGATCAGTTACCGTATCTTTTCGAAGGAGACATCGTACTGACTGATGAACAAATGGAAACTATTTTGAGGTTCGATTCCATAAAAATATCACTGATTCATGACGTTATCTGAATAAACTATGCGCAATTAATAGGCCTTTACAATTTCTTCATAGGAACACCGAGGAACAACTATTGAGCAAAAATGGAGGGATCAGAGAACGTCGCTCTTTGACCTCAGACCTTTATGGCCGTTGGCAAACGTTTCCTATTCCGTACTACATCAACACTGGATCGGGAGGTATAATATTTATAAAACCTTTAAGAAGTGAAGATTTAATGATATTGATGTTTTTAGTTAGCGAGTCAGCAGTGTTAGCAGGAGTGAAGGTGTGGGAAACCGAAACATGCTTGTCGTTCAGAAGGCAGCCTAGTAGAACACGAGGAAACGGTCTAGAGTTTTTTCTGGGAAACGGGTTCGATTTTCTTTCAAAAAAATTGTCAATGTAGGGTGACTATTGATCTTTAGAACCTTCCCGTTCAATAAACCATAAAGCTATATTCCGTCATTCAGCTGCTTTTCGATGGTCGGTCGCGTTGGCTTCACCTTTCAGCAGGTCTCCATCGGATTTGGTTGCACATCTCTTGGCATCGTAGCACACGAAATCGGTACGCCAATCAGCGTTCCAGTTCAGTTTGACGGTGACTGAAAATGTCAAGTGTCTTGTGTTCTGACTGCTTCACAAACTACAAGTATATGTAGGACACGCTCTTGGGTTCTATCATGAACAATCCCGCTACGATCGTGACAAGTATGTGAGAATGCTTACTGGAAACATCCAGAACGGCTATGTCGCTCAATTTACTAGGCAGTCAAGGTGGGCTCCATGGCTACATCCATTTTTCGACCTTAGCATGATTTAATGTTTGCTGATTAATTCACTCTTCCCGCGTAAAAATACAGATGCCGTAGTAGAGGCAATAGAAAATTGGTAAACGGGAAATTTTACCAGTGCAAGGAACGGGCCAATTTTTGTTATACTGGATAAGTATGAAAGGTTAAGGGTATAAAAGAAAAATAAGCCTGATGAGAAGTAGAGAAGAGCAAAAGTGAGGGATAGGGAAGGAATGTGTGATATAGATGGGAGTAGGAGATGTTGTATGGAGAGTAAATAAAATGAGACGGTGGACGAGGAAGGAACGTAGAGGGATAGATTGAAAGAGAGGCAAATATGATGGTGGAGTTGAATAGAAGATACATGCGAAAATTTTAGGATGATATAGCCATTGAATAGAAATATAGTAAAGTGGATATGGGCACAAGGAGACATAAATGCAAGATGAATGTATTGTCTTAGAGTTGTTAGAAGTAGGAGAATTTATGTTAAACAGGGGGCAGAAGGAGGAGGGAGAGAAAGAAAGAAGATAAAAACGCAATGAAAATGGCGAGGGAAGTAAAAAAAACGGGCAAAACAGTCGCGAAAACAGCAGAACCACCGAAATCAACTAACAAGAAGAGAAAGAAACCCAAATGGCGCCATGCCAGGCCATTTCAGCAATCTCATTATGACACTTGTAGAATCAGTTGGCTCGAAAGTGCTAATGAGTTGAACGGAGCTTAGCCGTATGATATAAATTACACATGATTGAGTGTTCAACACAGCAAAGTTCTTAGTTCCAGAAGAAGCATGGAAGACTACGGCGTCGGTTATGACTACGGTTCCGTCATGCACTACGGCCAATTTGTAGGTAATTTTCTCCATTTTTTTTGCTTCCGGCAAAACACATAATATGTGTGGAATATTTATTTTGTATTTCTGTTTAACCTCTAGTTCTTTACGACCATTTTCTCATTCAATATTGGCTGTCAGCATCTCAAACAATACATGATTTTTTAGCGTTTGTACATTCTGGGTAACGCTAAATGGGGTTATTGGTATATAAACAATTTTACTCCGCTGAACCTCTCTTCCTGAAATCTCAGAAATTTCATATTGAGATGCCACTTATCCGGCCAACTATATTGTTACAATACATCCCAAATTTCAATCAAATAAATCTTCTCTGAAGCATCAAATATAGTGGAGTCGATTTTTTAATCCTTTACACCGGCGCTTTAGTGTCTCATAGTGGATGCAGAGTTATTTAAATGGTAAGATAAAGAACTCACCAACCGGGACGCAACAGCTGAAGGGTTCTACATTTAGATCAGAGTATCAGCTTCAAATAAACCCGTGCCATGCCGAGCCACCCGTGGTACGCGTGGTAAGCCTAACAAGCAGAACTGCGTGCAATAAGAAAGGGTAAAGATTTTATTGGTTCCCACCCGGGTTAGCCATTGATTCACTGAGCTACAGATGTCAGATGCTTGCTTGTTTTTTGTGGGGCTATGCATATGATGTTAATCGCCTATGTCGAAGTTAATGGAAAACTCGTTTTTTAGAGTTTCTCACAAAATGGCCTCCCTACGATCAACACTATCGACACCGACTACCAGCAGACTATTGGACAACGTGGTGGTCCGTCGTTCATGGATGTGAAACGGATCAATTTGGCTTACTGCAATGGTGAGGTTTAATTGTCTCTCTTTAACAGAAGCTGCCGCAGAATAGATTCATAGTGGAAATGCAAGAGAGAGCAATTACGATACAGCCACGAAATCGTCATTTGTTGAGTACTAAAGAAGTGACAACTAATGAATTAAAGCACACGATTTTAACCCTTATTATGGTTACATTCCCAATGTTTTTGTATGGTGATAAGCTGATCTCAGATGTCGATCGCGATCAGCAACGAGGAATAGTCGCTCACCACGGTCTGCAATTCTGAGGAGGCCTATGATATTTGCATCCGGAATTGGGCCTAAAACTGGATCTATGCCAAAAATAATCGTCATTATGGAACAGGCCCAATGACAAAACGGAAGTGCTTCTTGTGATCAATTGTGATAGTATCTGGGAACAACTCAACATCTGGAGACTGCGGAGAAAAATTGTGCCCAACAAGCAAAATGCAACCTGAGTGGAAATTCTGAAGGTCCCATATGATGCTTCGTGAGAATGGACTATAGCATCGTCATACTTACGTAACAACGCGATTTAGAAAATTTTCTTTGGTGATCTACCTCCACGTTTCTTTCGATGGGCAGCACTTCTACTCATTCTGTTTTTTGGAGACGTCATCCATGAACGCGGGTTTATTAGTGCTCGCATTCGGCTGCTGCTTGCCGATCTGAAAAGTGATCACTGTCGTAGATAGGTGGCTTCTGCGTGCAACGAACTACTATGCTCAACTTTTGCGTCAAATGAGTGAGGACGCAAAATATCCATTTCCACTAACCATCCTTGTTATACGTGGGGTGTGGTCTCCTCATTCTTAGTCCATCCGGAGCAATCCATGTTCGTTGACACCAGTTGTTCTTCATGGATCTATAGTCCTACATTTTTTTCTTGCAATATAGATTTTTTGCCGTTTCTTATTTTATTCTATTCATTTTTTTAAAGCTTTTTTCTCTAGAAAACAAGAATTTCGTAAATGTGGAATAAGAAATTTGACAAAGATTGTAAAGTTTAAGAGCTTACAGTGAGAGAGAAATTGGTTGTTCAAGCTTTTAAGAAAATACTTTTGGATACAAATGAGTGGCAACCAACTTATGTCGTCGAAACTGCTATTTGCTTAGATTTGTGCGATCTAAATTGAGTTCGGACTGTATGTGTCAGTTAATGTGGAACTTGGCAATCATTTCAAACATGATAAAAAAGGCTAAAGCTTTAGGTGTTGATTAATCGCTATGGGATACGCAATGAATTTGACTTCATCAAGCAACGTTAGAGGTGATTAAGTGCATATCTGCCTATACAGTGGTGGCGGTGGCCTATGGCCTATCGAGCCAGTGCTGCTATCCTCCCAGACAAGTTTGGTACCAATTCGCCGACCTCGGAGAGATGGAACGCTTGGTGGGCCATGGGCACAGGGCCGCACACGTTTATACTGCGGAGCACCTCTAGCCACTGTTCTCACTACACGTTTCCTTTTAAAGATTTTAAAGATGAACAAAATGATCAGACGACATGTGAGAGATTGAAAGACGGTGAGCTGTCTAGGACTATTTTTAAGGCACGTGTTCCAACACGCTTCCTTGTTTGCACGGGGGATACACCGACCCAAAGAACTGTGCGAGTTGTCGATGTCCTACTGGATTCGCTGGAGTGGTATGCGACCAAGCGGCACCGAACCCTGGTGTGTGTGGTGTAGGCGGTCGTAATGCTACTTCATCACTACAGTCAATATCTGTTAGTGGAGCTGTCAGCTGTTCATTTGTTATCAAGGTATTTAATGTATTTCACATGATTGTTGGAAATATGACTAAACTAAGGTGGAAAACCGATATTTTTATGTTGGAGACAGTTTTTCGCAAGTTCCGAGTTAACTGTTCAGGCACCAACCAATTTTCGAGTGTACTATGAAGTGCCAACGTTTAGATTCAGTTCTGCAAGTCTGTGCAGTTTCAATTACTTGGAAATTAAATATGCTGCTGACCTACAAAGAATGGGCGCAAGGTAGATTCTCTAAATATATTTCTACACGTCAGCTTTTATTTAGTCTATACTATTTTTTAATGGAAGGGTATTATGTAAAATGTAACTTCAACGTTGTTGAGATATCTGCAGGACTCCAGACCGCTGGTGTCTGCGGTGGGGATCGGACACAATGTCAATCTTACCTTTATCAACCTCTGACGTGTTAACCACGACGCCAAGCTGGTCCTTCGTTTCGCCCTTCTCTCGGCTAGTTTTCTATCTACCAGTGCAATCAGCATTTACCCATCAATGGGATTGACTGAGGCTGTAACCAGAAAAAAAACTAGCTGGGAGAAAGATGAAACGAAGGACCAGCATGGTGTGATGGTTAATGCGTCAGCCCCGGAAAGGGTAATAATGTAACTGCCACAACCGACTTTCTATTAACCTCGGCATTGATCAAGTGATTCTCCTCGTACTCCTGTTGAGCAAACGCGAGGTGTTATTATTCTTTGTTCACGATTAAGCTGACGTTTCGGCGGATTTCGCCTTCTTCAGAGACCAACCGCACAGAAATCACGTAGAAGTATAATGTATATACATTATACTATATACAGTATATACATTATACTATACTATACTATGTCTCTACGTGACATACTTAGTGGAAACCTCATAGAAAGCGGCTCTGAAGAAGGCGAAATCCGCCGAAACGTCAGCTTAATCGTGAACAAAGAATAGTAACACCTCGCGTTTGCTCAACAGGAGTACGAGGGTAATAATGTGTTCGATCCCCACCACATGCATCTGCAGGCCTGAGTTTTGCAAATATCTCAGCATTTTTATTTTCTGCATACTATAATTTCGCGGCAGGGTATTATGCGAATACAGCCGCAGCTTAACTGGGTTCTATGCCGATTTGGGCACGCCAGATCAATCCCGCTGACGGGTAATTGCTGTGGCAAAGATCGATAGAAATAGCTGAGAGACAGGCGAAACGAAGGATCCGCATGGTGTGGTGGTGAACGCGTTACTCCCCGGAAAGGACAATAGCGCGTTCGTTCCCCACCATAGACACCTGCGGTCCAGAGTTTTGCAAATATCTCAGCAACGTTGTGGTTGTATTTCGCTTAGTACCCTGCCGCGAAATTATAGTAGGCAGAAAATAAAAAGGTATAACATTGTGATATCTCAGCATCATTGTGGCTATATTTGAACAGTTTTCTGAAGTATCGTCGCCTAGAAAAACTGCATACTCCATCATTTCTATCATAATTTCTCTTTTTGCTGGTTCATCTTAACAGTTTCAGGCGATAATTGATGCTTATACTATTACATGGATTAAAGATACAGTTCACTGTTTAAATTTTACACTTTTTAATTGTAAGTTACGAGCCCATAGTCCACCTATTTTTAGGTTTTGCCGATCGCGCCCGAAAAACTCAGTCTCAGAAACTAACATTCTAGTGGTGCTCTATAGGGGATCGTCGAATACCGCGTTCACTTTGAGCTATCGCTATGGTGTGGTTATTTACTTTCTAGGGTTTACTCTGTGAAACAAAAAGGTAGAACTTTTGTGGTGTTGTTTTTAGACCCACCCACACCTGAGGTTTTAACCACAACCACATCAGCAACAACAACTACAACTACAGCAAATGGAACGGAACCATCCACACAAGCAGCAAGTGTGCTTTTGGAAATCAGTTAGTGATGACGCGAAAGAATCTCTTTCGATTTAAGTTCCAACTACAACCATGACGACCTCAACCACTACTGTGACAGCCTCAACTTGCTCTCGGTGGACGAAGTGTTCAGCTAGTTGTGGTGGATGTGGAACACGGAGAAGAATGTGAAAAACTTCGAAAATTTTTTTGCTTTTTATACATGTGGAAAGAAACAGGAAGTCTTCTCCAAAAGGAGTCGTTTGAGGGAATTTGTGTACGTTGTTTGTGTCACATGAGTTCGGGATTCATCATAGAGCAGAACTCAGGTGTGGAGCAATTGACTTGAGGAAAATAATTTTACGTAGAAATGACAAATTTCGACTCCCGTTATGTCCGTAACTTAAGCGTTGGTGAATATTGTACCAACGAATACTAACCTGAAAAGAGTACGTTGCACACATGGAAATAGTAGAGTAGGTGTGTTGTAAATTACTTGTTTTTTTTATGACGGGCCGATTCCACATGGGGGTCAAGCGGTGGTTCCACTTCATCTGTAGTGACTCGTAACCTAACTCTTAGTCTTAGCTTTTATAGTACACAACAATGAGTCGCTAGTGAAGTGGTTAATGATGCCGTCGATCAGGAAGTGTAGGTTACCTCATTAACGCTCTCCTCCAATACACGTCGGAAGTCCTTAGTCCGGATATCTCCAAGATTGGATGGAGAATCGACCAGCATTCCATGACACTCATAAGGAAGACCAAATCTGCAACCAGCAGCCGGGCTAGAATGCGGTGTTGGAAAACCATTGTGGAGGACGAATTCGAGGAAAAATCAATCGAATGTAAGAAATTCTGGGATCCACACAGTGGATGTGATGAGAGGTCATGTAAGAAAATCTGGAACAGATCTTTACTCATTATGATTCAACATAGCTACCGAATGGCCCATTATTTTTTCGATTAGTTCCATCACTCATTTCAGTTGTAATGGCAAAGTTGAGGAAAAATATTGCAACACCCGGCCATGTCGAGGTAATTTCTGCTGTAGGCCATTTCTGTACGTAAATCAAGGCTTCTGCTTCCGTCCGTACTCCGAAGATCAGCTCATAGTCAGTGGTTTGTAAGTCTCACTCTTCCAAAATCACTATCAAAATGAACAGGATAATCTATAACTTGTTTTCGGTAACTTCGTAGGTCTTAGCTCAGCTACCAGTAAGTATGTTCAAGTATCCACAAGCTCGTCCATTTCATTCCACTAAAGAATAAGAAAGTAAATGATTCGTAAAACCATTTTCGTACAATTCATTTCAGTCGAGAATGAGTATGGTTACGGGCTGTTGCTTTTGGTTAGCCTTTTCGAAAAGAAACTAGCGTCACCAGGTTGATTTAGGAAAGAAGAACTTCTTTTTTAGAAAAGACTTTGCTCTATCAGTATGTTAGGGAGCTGGGAATCCCGATTCGCTTTTGTGTTAAAAACATGACCTTTGACGCAATAAAGTGGAAGAAATACACATCTTGCTTCAGAAAGTGGGAATTTCTTCGTGGTAAAACAAGTTAACTTTTGGGTAATATTCGCTATGAATTGAAATATGTTGACCTAAAGCTGGAAGGGATTATTGTTTTCTCACCGCCCGACTCCTACGGAGGTCAAGTTATAATGTAAGGGTTAACGAACGCACGCTTATCCTCACTGTTTGCTTGAAATACTTTAATGACATATCGAAACATTTTAAATAAGATATTAACATGGAAGTGAAACTGATGAGTTGAATTGCCGTTCTTCATTGTTGTCTGATTAATGTTCTAAATGAACTTTGTAGCAAAATTAGTAGCAAAAACCTCTCTGAAGTTACTTCTAATAATGCAAAATACGCTCTATTCACCAATCTGCCGTAAAAAACTTACAATCAATAGATCGATTCTTGTTTTAGAAAGACGAGGCTAGCAAGTCGAATCGATTCGGGGAAGAAAACAATGCTGAGGGAGCAGAAATCGAAGGAAGTGGGGAATCCTCAGATCCGAACACATTTGCGATCACTGATTTGCTATAAATCACCAATATTTACTTCTAAAAGCCAACTGTCGTTTAACCTCGGCATAAATTATATAGAGAAGTATTTAGCAATGTTTATTTTTTCGCGTTATTTTCAGAAAATCCATAACAACAGAATAAATTTGGTTCGTTCACGAACAACAGCCATCCAAGGTATGAACGATGTCACGGCCTGTTGGGGACGAACGACACGTCCACTTCTCCGTTACGCGTTTCAGACTGTAAGTCAGAGGAATAGCGTTGGGTAGAACGTATAGCTGCGTAGAAGAGATCTTGACAACGTCGTATGAATATGACGACGTTATCGACCAACCACTGAACCAGCGAATATATGTAGAGGTAGATTCGATAGAAGATCGACTGAAAATATTCATATTTTTTTGCTGAAGCATCGATGGCCAGTGGTGTGAATTCATGATTTCAAGTCGGAAAGGAAAACTAAGCAGAAAAACTGTCCTTAGTTCACTATCGTTTCCGCGAAGCGATCATTGTCTACTTGAATTTAGTGAAAGGATCATTCGTGTCGGTGTCTCTTTCAACAATGGCGTTGTTCTCATATATCGAGAATAACGAAAATATTGTGAATTAAGTGAAATACAACCGCAATGATGAGATATTTGCAAAACTCAGACCTCAGTTTAATGACTTAGAGAAAAGCAAAGCAAAGGCCTCAGTGGTGCGGTGGGGTAACACGTGTGCAAGCCCCTGGAAGGGATAGTCGCGGGTTCGAATCTGGAATGGGGTCTGCGTTTTGCAAATGTTTTAGCATCATTGCAGCTGTATTTCAAATAATACCTGTCGTAAAAAATGATAAGCAGCAGATAAAAGGTGATGCATTATTCTGCATTAGTTGTTTACACCTCCCAACGGCTTACCGCCTCATCGTGGCCGGAAGGGGTTCCTGGGTGTCAGACTGCGATTTACAGCGGGGGGATTCGTCCCGCCGGCAGGGTCTCCCAAGCTGAGAAGGAGCCCGGTGTTTCTATTAGGAAGCCTAACTAAGAGTAAACCAATACCAGTATCCACCACCGTCTTGGTATAAAACTAGTCGCATGATGGCAAATTTCCCTCTAATCCACAAGGACACCGACTGCCTGTGGTGGTAACGACCTAAGGCAGACTTTGGCCTGGCTGACCTCGAGACTCCAGGGAACCACAATAACTTAACCAACAAATCTCCGAAAAATGGTGATTGTGCTGGGGCCCGCACAACCAGTGAGCACGGGCCGTCCAAGTATGCAAGCATCCAAGTAGTTGTTTACAAGTAATTCCATTGGAGAATGAAACATATCAGTAATTTAAAATCGTACTTCGTTTAATTTCTGCTGATATACGAGATAAGCGATACTTTTGCGTAGGCTTTCCATTTTTACGTCGGCATCCAAGTAGATATCAAAAAGTTTGCTAAGCCTCTCTGCTGCTTCAGTGGTATCCTTGAAGATAAGCAGATATGAAATCTTGCTAGCTCTTTTTTCAATAAACAGAAGTCGCCAGGCACTGACAAAAGCTCTTACCGTCATATGCATTCTTGTTACAGTATTAAGAAGTCTCGTCACTCTTCGAATGTGCTCGTCAAGGCGACCAGCACTTGCGATCATGTCAGCCTCTGTTTCCTAAATAAGAAACGGTAATCTTAAAAGGGTATTTGTAGTGCAATGGTTATAGTTTTCCAACAATACACAGTGAATCGGTGGTTACTTCACTCCGTCGTCATGAACTCATCAAGCCTTCCATCCCTCCGGGATAGACAAATTGTTAGCAGACTTCTCTAGGACGATTCTGATTTGATATATCACCACATACCCGCCAAGTCATTGTTTAGACCAAATTTGTATTCAATCACACCCTACGATGATTGATGAAATCGAATGGATAGCATATTGCTCTTGGATTGATCGAAGCTGATTATTGCTCTAAGTTCACACAGTTCTCCACCTTGAACCAACAAGCATCGGATCATCCATCTCCTATCATGTCGATGGAAAGAGGTTGTCGTGAACCAGTCGTAATACGGAGTACAGTGAATGGACGATAGAAGACCGCAGACTTCTACTTATTGCAGTTATCGAGCAGTAAACGGTTGTACCTTTGTAAGCTTGTCGACAACATTCTTCTTCATCCTAATAGTCTCCATGCAGTTTTTGCACAATTGTAGCACTGCTTCCTCTTCTTTATATATTCTGAACGAAAGTAATTTGTGAATAATGTAGAAAAAGAGTGCCCCTGGTCAGCGCATAGAAAGAGAATAGATCATGCTCAAACCCCCGCTGAAAGGAAACATCGCTTTTGCTTTCTTGATGATGACTGTTTGCAAACGGGACAGTAACTATGCCGCTCAACAGAGATGAGGATAGTGTTGCTAAAGTCTAATTCAGTGTCTAAGCCTATTCTATACCTGAAGTAAGGTTGAACCTCATTACAAATTTCATGGCGACTTCCCACTGCAAAGTCGCTCGAGAAGAAAACTGAGGTTGAATTTTATCCCGTAATGATAGGACGCGACCGCATAGAATTAAATACTATCGCATGAACATCTCTTGTTGATCGCTCGTGTCTTTCAAGAGCAAGTCTCCTTTCAAATTTGCAGAAATATCTTGTGAGCTATGAAAAAAATCCTATTACTGCTGTACTCACTCATGAATAGCAACGTTGTTTCCGTAGGAAATTTCGATGTCAGATGCGTCAACAAACAAGTTTTCTTCCAATATTTGGAGGAGGAGAGTTGTAGAATAGTATAGTGACCGATTTTGATAATGTACGGTCTGAGAATCTCTCAAACGGTACTGTACATGATTGTATTACAATGATGATCCCACCAGAATAAGCTTTCGTCATGATTTGCACGATAGGTGTTACTTCCAGAGCAATTCGAAGGAAAAGATTTTGGGATACCTTTTTGCCGCTTCGTAGATCGTTTCAAGTTCTGCTGTCGATAGTTCAGCAGCCGGTTTCTTTCGAAAGTCAATAGCTGAAAGTATTATAATTACAAACGAAAAAATATGAAGATAATTATAATGGAAACCACAGGAGTACTTACATTTCGAAATAGAGTCGTTATTTCTTCGCATGACCCAATGACTATAACGACCCTACTCACCAGACACACACTGTGGCACCTAGTGAAATGAAGCAGATAGTACTATCACGCAAAGGTGCTTTCAAAATCAGTTGTTTGGAATAAAGTAAATGAAGTAAAGATGAATAAAGTAATTTCCAAGATCGAATTTTCAGTAACTTCAACATGACCAAAAAACCTGCGCTACTGAAATGTAGCTTGCAGTTAACCTGACCTCTCCAGGCTCTGAAAAAGACGAAGTCCGCCATCAGTTATTGCCAGTAACTTGATAGTTGGTACTTGAATGGCCCACCCTCACTGGCTGTGCGGAGCCCAGCACAATCTCCATTTTTCGGAGATTTGCTGGTTACGCCATTGTAGTTCCCTGGAATCCAGAGGTCAGCCTGGCCAAAATCTGCCCCAGATCTTCACCACTACGTGCAGTCGCAGCACTTGTGGATCAGACGGAGATTTACCATCATGCGACTTTGACAGCATGATGGCGGATCCTGGTTCACTCTTAGCTAGGCTTCCTGATGGTAACGCCGGACTCCTTCTCAGCTTGGGAGACCTTACCAGGAGATGAACGCCCCCGCTGTACATCGCAGCCCGAAACCCAGAAACACCTCCTAGACACGATGACGCGGTAAACCGTTGGGAGGATTGCCAGTAAAGAACAAAGTAACACTTCGTGTTTGCTCAACAAGAGTGTAGTAAATAGAATAAGCCGCTACACATCTACTCTGGTCTCAAACGTTGTGGATCACATGCATAAAAGAAAATAGACGGAACATCACAAAAGTCGATCACACAGTATGACATGGAAAACATGAGAATTAAGTTCATTAACATGTTCGCGACTATGTTGCTTCTTCAATAACTGGCAATAGATTTGGGAAAGCCAAGTCTTCCATTCCCCTAGGGCATCTTAGAAAAAATAAACGGAAGGAACGACAACTGACATTAATGGTGCCTGTAGAGCTGTCGAATTACAGCTAAATACTGTAAAGACGATCCTGAAAGAAATCATTCTCCATTTACCATTCAACAGATCGATAACACATAGAAAACTCAAGACTTAGATAACACGTCTTCACATGTCACTTGACAGATAGTACTTACCCTTTCCACTTAGTTATACTTCACGGAGGTGGTCCGATATGAACATTTGTTCTATTTCCTGCTCAAAGGTGATTTACCCTGGAATCTCCAGGTACCTCTGCCGCAGTGTTCTTAAGCCTACAGCACAGGTAAGAGCCACTCCTTTTAAATCGAAACGAGGTTTGTTACCTTGAATGTGAACGGACTTTCTAAAGGTTTACCGCCTCATTGTGGCTGGGAAGTGTTCCTGAGTGTCCGATTGCGTTGTAGACGAGGGAGGTTCATACTCCCAGCAAGGTCTCCGACATGTCTCCGAACGAGTCCGACATTTTCAACCGGAAATCCAGTTTGAAGTGAACCAATACCAGGAATTATCATCGTCCTGTATTGGTTCACTTCAAACTAGTCGCATGGTGGCAAATCTCCCTCCGACCCACAAGGACGGTGACTGCCTAGTGTGGTGGCGACTTGAGGAAGGCTTTGGCTGGCTGACCTCGAGACTCGGGGCAATCAACCATGTTAGCCAAACCGGCAAAGCTCCACCCTTAGTAGTCGGCACACTGGGCTCTCTCAACTACGACGTTGAGGTGGAAGACAACTGGGTAAGGGAGCGATCACATCGCTGGTTACACGGACGTCATTGGAATCGAACCAAACGAATACGCAGACAAAACTCCATTGAAAATGATTTTTGCTCTTCACCTCTAAACCAGAGCAGGATCGTCAGACGCCGATCTTTAAGCTCTTTATCAGGCTGGTGGTTACACTAAATTTCATGTAATTGCACAGAAAAAGGGGAAAAGGAGAAAGACGGCATACATATTAGATGATGGAACCCTTGTAATTTGTGCAGGAAAATTTCAGCCACGAAAGGTCAAAGGCGAAGGCGAACTTCTCGCACATCCATTTCTTTCGCACCAGTTACTTCAGACGAAATCGCATTACCACGCTTGGATATTCTTCATCTCCAATTTCCTTGTCAAAGAAAGTCATTATCATCCATTGATATTCACCAACTTGTACAGCTGTACAGAACTCACAACGAAAAGTCCTTCTAAAGCTTCATTTTGGAGATCTCAATTGGAGATTAGGAGCGACGAAGGGAGGAAAATTTGGAATAGAAGAACGAAATGAGAATAGAAACCGTATCGTAGGACTCCTGTCGGAAACCCGTTTCTTTCATGAGAAATCATTTTTGAAAGTCGCCGACCCACATGAATGTTTCCTAATGGAACGTCTCATGGGGATATCGACCATGTTCTCATGAGCAGAAGACGGTGCCTCTTCGAAACTTCAGTAGTATTTGGATTCGGCACTGGATCCTACGAACGCCTTCTCAGCGTGCAAAGAGGATTCAGCTACAAGCAGGAGAAGAATTGTGGTCGTTATCCAAGGAAAAAACGGAGAAAACGGAAAAGTCGTGTATGGCGAAGATATTCTCAATAAAAAACTCTCCTCATATAACTGCATACGAATAAAGGAAAGCCCGAGCGATGACTACAAGCTGCTTCTTGAAATACTTAAGACTTTTGCCGAAAGTTTCAGTTCTTCAAACAAGCAATTCAGACCGCATTTCCTTCACCACTTAGGGATTGCAAAAAAAGGGACTAACACTGATGCTTGATCCTACTTCAACACAGCTAACACAGGTGGTGATAAATACAAGCTGTAAAAAATTTTTGCAAGAGAATTTACATAGGAGGTAGGCAAAAAAAATTTTGGAAGCAGCTCAAAAATCATCTATTCTGAAGGACTTCCATGGAGGTTTTTTGACTATAATGCTGTGCTTTCTGTAGTGATGAACGATGGGACTATTGGTACATCCACCCATGATCACGGAATTGATAACGGAACAGTTCTATACCAATCTTTTCTGCTCCAGAACCCCACCGCGGACTCCGGAATCCTCAATGAAGAAAGACCTCTTAGGATTCTATACTCTTAAGTTTGAACTGAGATAGAAAATATGAAAAGAGACACAGCTCCAAGATGTGATAATTTTACGCGCGACTTTACTCGAGTAGAGGACCACAAGTTACACATTCTTCCTCCAACCCATATGACGTTTTCCATTCAAAACGATAACATCTAAACCAGTGGAAGGACGTCATGCAATCTGACCAAAAGGGTGGCCAAAAGGATTTCGGCAACATTAGTCCGAAATGCGCATTGACTTTGCCCTATGCTTACGAAAATTATCTCACTACGTATATCAAAGACTATGGGTGAGGCACAACTACTCGAGCAAGCAGGATTTCGATAAAGTTTCCCCTCCATGGACGACATCCAAACCGCGTCACGGTCATAGAAATCTGTCTGAACTACCATCTGCCTCCTGTCCTAACCTTTATCGACTACGTGAAAACACTCAACAACGTTGAAACAAATGTAGTCCCATCAACACTCGTCGACCAGGGAGAGGATTCGCAACATATTCGAATACTAGCTGACTGTTATCGGTCGCATAAATCAGAAGAAAACCTAGTTCTTTTTCTGTGCAACCCATGGTGCGAAAATAAACAAATCGATCTGGGTGGTACTCTTATTACAGAGACCACATCGTTCGTGTACCTTGTATTTTTTGACGAGCGTAAAAAACAACATGAGCGAAGAAACAGACGGAGGAAGGAGAGCAGCAAAGCTGAATTCGAGCCTCAAAGAAGCTACCGGTTGGCTAAGTGACCCATTAATCTACGCTCACCTTTTCGACTCAACTGTCCACTCTCGCTTTCTGTTATGCAGCACAGACGTGTGCTGACACTTCAACCTCGTCGAGAACTGCGTACACCGATTTCAGGGCGCTTGAACGATGACTTTTGAAATTTAACCGGCACTCACAATAACTAGGCGGAAAGTGCAGCTCAGATCTTCGAAACGTATCTCATCTTCGGGATCCAAGAGAATATACATTGATAGCAAAGAACAAATGGCCTGCTCACATATTGAGAGGAATGGATGTCAGATAGGCGAAAAGGACAGTGGATTGGACTCCGACAGAATACAAGCGTCTCTTTGGACGACGACCCAAACGATGAGCGGTCGTGTTCGTGGCTAACGTCAACTATCTGAATTCATAGATGAGAGCGAAATATCATGTTCGAAATAGACTACCATCATGGACAACGCCGCGTTAAGAGAGAAACGAATGAAAGTTATTGTAAGCGCCGTACTACTAATGCAGGGTTGCTATCCAAATGTCCAGATAATGTGAATGGAGGATAAAGTACGTAGGATCTTTCTAAAGATGCTGACATATGAGCAAAACTGGGAACCTCAGTTGGGCTTCGAAGCCGCGATTACCTTTTCCTGGGACTACCATGGGAGCACAAATCGGTATTGTACCCAGTTAAGCTGAAGCTGCAGTCGAAATCGCAGTGTTTAAACTTTTATATGCTGCCTATTCCTTTTCCTTGACAGGGTATGGTGTAAAATACAACCACAATTATCATTGTGGTTCCGAGTTTTGCGTTTATCTCGTCGCTGTATTTCACGTAACAGTCGGCCATGGAGAAAGAATAGCCACTAAATAAAAGTGAAAGCATCGCAGTAACAACCTCGCGTGCAATTTGTCGAGAAAAGAGCACACTTTATACATTTACAATATTTATATTGCCAACAGAAAAAATGGGCGCGTGTAGCGCAGCGGTTAGAGGCGCACTGCAATGCACATGAGATCGATCCTGCTCCTCAGACTCACTAAATCTTCTATTCCTCCGGGGTCGGCAAATTGGTAGCAGACTTGTCTGGGAAGATAGCAGCACTGACGCGATAAATTGGTAGGCCACTGCGAGCCATCGCAAAGGCCAAATATGCATTCAGTCACCTCCAACGATGCTTGATGAAGTCGGCACAGCGCATTCCTCAGGGATTGGTCAACGCCGAGAGCTTTATTCTTTTATTTGTATTCCTCAGAAATGCTCATAACTCGAGTATTTCAAGATATCCACCCCGAAGCACAGCAAAGAGTAAGCCAACGCAAAGCATCAGCATTGTCTTGGTAACAAGTTGCTCCCAAGATGGCAAGTCTTTTCCCGATACATAACGGCCGGCGATCACAAGTAGTGACTGCTTCATTTCCACACCTACTCAGATTTTTCCTTTATAGTAACTTCAAAGGCATTTTTTACCGATGAGCACTCAGTGAAAACCTTTGCATCTAATTATTTTAAAGGTTTTTCGACCCACCTGCTTTGTTGCTCATAGTCTCTTCTAAAAGCCTACAGTTTCTAATTTTGGTTTAGCTGTCAGTTCTAATATCAAAACCATGCCGCTCTCACCTAAGCAAGTTCCTTCACACGACGGGCAGGTCAAGGACCAGGCCTAGATCCTTTATGTGATTCCTTTGTTTCTAAATCAAACGTCTTGCATCAGAAATGCGATTGCATCACGCAGATTTTTACAATAAGTCCGATAGTGCTTTTTTGACAGTTGACAATGATCTCTCCCACTCATTAGTGTTCAGGAGTTGGAATAAAATACCCTTTCGCTCTCAAATATCCTTAAAACCATAACTCACAGAATAAAAACAAAATGCAATTTAAAAGTTCAAGATTTTTAGCATAAGAGCCATAAGCATCAAAGACAGAATAGACGAGTGATAACACCGCAGTGTCGTTCTGGGCGAAATCCCATTTCGTCAATTGCCTTGGTTTCCCAAATATGAGCTGTTGGGACGGCTTGTTGATATAGGAATACCAAGTAGTTAGGACAATTCGGTCGGAATTAGTTGCTCGCCTTTGTGTACGCCACGCGGGACTTCTTGTGATTAGCTGTCACAATGTCGGACACCTCAAACTTGGCAATTAAACCGTTTATCATAATTATACAACAGTCATAACAATACAACTCTACAGTTAATGCAACAATGAAACAGGTTATGAGTAGGCGCAGCCTGATCACTGGTGTTCAGGTTGCTTATGAATGAAGAGATTGGCATAAGGGTACGACTGTATAATTAATGCAACGATGATACGGGCAATGAATAGACGCAATGAATAGACGACGCGGTGACTTGGGCAGCATTGCTGTGACATGAGCTAGCTAACCGTGGCGCCGTTTATATACCTTTGCGCTGGGTGGAGTCAGATTACAGTAGGCGGAGTCAGGCTACAGTAGGCAGAAAGACGGGTGCTGGAAACATTTCTCAAGCCTTGCGATCTGATAGGGCGATATTCAAAGCCTAGGATCGTAAGTGCAGATATTTTACGAGATAGGCGCCAGCGAAATGTTAGACATACGGCTATCAAATCGTCATGGAGAAAAGGTCATGGGAGAGGCATTTGAAATGTTTGGAAAACTTATAATTGATTTACATAGAGAACATTCCAATATTCGTGAAGAATGTTCTCTATATGAGCCTTGACATAGAAATGTTAAGAAAAGGTACGCCCGATGGATCCAGAACTACTAGAATTTCATCTCGGTAGAACGAGGAGACTTACGCTTTACATACAACTATTTTAGGCTTGCATTGGTTTAATGAGCTACAAAGTGTTAAAGTTCGGAAGAGCCCTCTAGTCTTGCACGCAACGCATTCCTCTCAATGCATGCTGGCCGTCAGGTGTCAACCAAACTTATGAGTTTCCCACCAACGACAGGTTGTTATTCTCACCAACTATGCTTCTTCTGATCTTGAATAGTATCGCGTATTATCTAATATGATGTTCAAGATGTCAGTTTCGTAAAATGTAAACAACTCTGGACGATGTGAAGTCACTACAGTTCACATCAACGTCATGACAAGAATCATCAGACTTCGAACGCTATATTAAGTGAATAGAACTTTTATATTAATTCATCTTGGCTTCACAGAAGTTATCATAGAAAATATTTAATTGGGAAATAAATAAAATAAACAATTACAAAGTCGCTTCATCAAAACAGTCTTAACATGGCTGGTTTAGCCTTAACATAAGTAGTGCTAGAACAACAGAGCTAGTTCCACACCTTGGGTCTAATTACATAGGTTTCCAATGTTATCTATCCTTGAAGACAACATTACAATGTAGTAAATTATGAGTAGTAAATTAAACAAAAAGGATTAAGTTAAATAGGTTAAGCAGAGTTATGCAGATCGCTACGTATAGATACATAAGAACTACCACTACCGACTAAACAACTTGAATAGGAATCGATTTTCTCGCTCCTTCTTCTTTGGGATATTTAGTTCTGGTGATGGGAATCGCTGAGAGTAAACAGACGGGTACGTCTTCTTGAACTGCAAGAATTCTAATAAAAGTAGTACAAAGCGAATGGTGTATTGTTAGATAAAGCAACAATTAAATGGAGAACCGAGTAGAAAATAAAATCGATAGACTTGAATAAGTCACTTTTTTCAGTCGTTTTCGTCTCTCTTGTACCGTCAGATTTTCGTCAATGCATATTTGGTCAAGAAGTTCCAGAAGATTGTCAACAAGATTTAGATTTTGTTCCTCGTATTCACTTCCCTAAGTTATATTTTAAAAGAAGAAAGCTATCAAAAAGAAAGGATATCGTGTTGTATAAACTCTATAGGCTAGAAATACCTTGGCAGGCTCACAAAACTGTACATAATCTGCCATTTCCGATCGCAATTCAGGGCTTTGCCCTATTGGGGTTACCTTAACAGGAACAAATGCTGAAATGAAAATCACCACGGTTCTGCATTCTCTAAATGTGTTTTGGAAACCGCTACTACTACTACAAACTTACTTGGATGGCCCCAGTGTAATTTCCACTTTTTCGGAGTTTTGATGGACTAGCCATTGTGGTTCGGTGGAGTCACGAGGTCAAGCTGGCCAAAGTCTGCCAAAGGTCGTCAACACCACACGCAGTCGCCGTCCTTGTGGAACACAGAGAGATTTGCCACCATGCGACTGGTTGATACCGAGACGGTGGTGGTTCCCCGTATTGGTTTACTCTTAGCTGGGCTTTCTGATGGAAACGCCAGACTCATCCTCAGTTTGGAAGACTTTGATGGGGAGATGAATCCTTCCGCTGTACATCGCAGCCCGGCACCCAGGAACACCTGCCAGCCTCGATGAGGTGGGTGAACTGTTAGGAGGTAACACTACTACTACCGTTATCTATGCACTACAGTTACTTTCGTAATCTAACTTCTAACTTTCCTTTGTTTAAAAAAAAGTGCAGATAAATACGTAACCTTATCACGTTGCCGTTCTCGAATCGTGGCATCCACTTCTAAGATCAAACCTTTTGGAACACTAAAGACTTCCTTCTCGTAATCAAGCAGTAGAGAAACAAGATGTGAACATTGTGAAGTTGACAATGGAGAAGCTCCCTGGGTGGATATTATACTTCCTGAGAGACCTTTCAAAGCCTGAAATCACAACATAATCTGTGAAGTTTATAGATAACCAATACCACTGACTAAATACTGACTACATAACGATTAGAGTGCACGTCGTCCAGCTGTAGACAATGATTTGCAGAGATTTTATTCATGAAACGAATTAGGAAATGAAGTCTACGACGACGAGGAGAAGGTAAAGAGAGTAGTAGAAGCGACAGAGCCTCTAGTATGTGATCTGGTGGCCGAGGCAAAAGCTCTGAAGTTGTAATTTTATGTAGAATATCAGCTCAACAAATCAAACAAGAAACAAACCTTCGCTAAAAGAATTTGTAGCTGATGTTAAGGAACTGGTATGCGACGACATTCTGGACAAATGAGAGATACCACATTGATGATCGGCAAAAACCAATTGATTAAATTCGGGTAACCTTATGAATTCTAAATGATGAATAAAAATAGTTACCTAATACTTTTCGTCTTTTAAATTAAAGGGATAAAGGATAAAGCTCTCGGCGTTGATCAATCCCTTAGGGATGCGCCATGCATTCGACTTCATTGCGCACCGTTTGGGGGTGAATGGATGTACATCTGGCTTTATAATGACTCACGGTGGCCTACCGTTGCATTGAGCCAGTGCTGCTATCCTCTCAGACAAGTCTGGTACCAATTTGCCGACCCCGGAGAGATGGAATGTTGGGTGGGCCAGGGGCACAGGAATCGATCTCATGTGTAACGCAAAGTGCCTCCGACCACTGCGCCACACGCGCCCATATCTTATTACACACTATCCAAAAATAGTAGCGGAAATCATCACCTGAAGAGACCTGGCTTATCAAGTCACTGTTTGGTTGTAGTTTCAAACACATTTCGTTAAATCTTTGCAATAATTCCGGGCTTTCCTTTAGACCAGGAAGATTGAGTATTTCGTTATATTTAGGCACACCTCCTACTGAAATAAATACGGTATAAATAGTTAGCAGCAAATATATAGAATAAATAACATGACGCTCACGAATAAACGTATTCCGCCGTTCATGTCCCAGTCGACTTGGCTCTGCAATGGTACCCAACGAAACCAACGATTCAACATGTCTGAAAATTGACTGTCTTCAGAATTCTCTTCCTTTTTGACTAGTATCTGTTAAACGATCCTCGCACTACAGCGAAATTTCCAAGTATTCGTCACAGTGACAAAACATTGTTATTTATAATGATAAAAAGAACATTTTATGGCATAGTTATATGTATCGCTAGAATGCGCATATGACGCAGTGGTAGGAGGTGCTCCGCAATGCACACGTGGAACGATCCCAGCGCCCATGGCCAACCAAACTTCCCATTCCTCACCAAACTTGTCTGGGAGGATAGCAGCACTGGCTCGTACATCGGTAGGCCACCGCGAGTCATTATAAAGGCCAGATTTGCATTCAATCATCTCCAACGATGCTTAATGGAGACGAATGCATGACACATCGCTCAGGTATTGATTAACGCTAACAGCTTTATTCTTAATCCTTTATATGGAATCGATAAGAAACAAACGTACCTCGAAGTATTCACTTGAGAAGGTTGTAAGCCAGTTTTAGTCTTCTGGGAAAGTTTATCCTCTTCGTTAAAAGAAAAGCGCTCTAGGCTTTCGGTGAACGACGGTGTGGAATCGGTGGTCGATGTGGTAGACTGAAAGTGCGAAAAGCAAAAACCTCGTCTTGATTTCATATTTTTAACAGAAGTACTCTGCTGACACCTAAACCTCTCAAAAAATGTACGAACTGGGCATGGAACTTGCATATTTTTCAAAACGTCGTTGAAATCACGCAAATGAAGAATCAAAGAGTAAGGCAATGTAGGTACCAAAACATCAGAGCAGATTACAAAGACACCCTCTCATCCAACGAAATCTGTTTACGGCGATCGCTATTCACAATAAAGCAACTAAATTGACCTTAATATTTCTGGTGAAACATACATTACCAGAAGACGACTGCCGTGGTACAATTCGACTACGCGGAGGATTCTCGGTAAACTCGGTTTCAATATGAACGGGCCAACCATATCTTTCTAAAATTGACATGGGTGAAAATAAAACTAAAATAGCACTTATAATTCAATAACATGGCTGATAAAAAGGCAAAACGAAGGATTCGCATGGTGCGTTAGTGCTCGCGAGGATAATAGCTCGTTCGGTCCCCACCGAAGGTACCAGCGGTCTGGAGTTTTGCAAATATCTCAGCATTATTATGGAGGAAGAATCTCCGAGAGACGAATTTCCGTTACGAAACAGCTTTAAAGATTGCAAGGAACTCACGATGGGGTAAATCGGACCTAAGAACGGCGTTAGACAAAGAAACGACGTGGAGTAGAGCAGAAGCTTGAGCATTTGTTAGTATCGGCTGCTCACGTGTCAGATGAGAGCAGACAGTTCTGAACACATTCACCTGAAAACAGCTTCTGGAAACTATTTTGCGACATCATAATAGATTTGGAAGCATTAAAGAGTATAAATGCAAAAGATCTTACTTCTTGATTGTCTTTATACGTTATAATATTAGCTGACCCAGATGGAAAGGGGAACTGCTCTAGATATCGCATTAACCGCATTAGATAGCTCGAGAAATCATCTAAATGGTAAGTATGCCAATAATGCTTACAGAATGAATCGAAGACTGATGCCCGGTGACGGATGAAAAGTACCTCGGTCACTACGTAGTTTGACAATCCCACTAACGCCAACTCTTTGACAATTCCACTTCACATCTTGACCGAGAACTTCCCATGTTATGAAAGGAAGATGACTAACTGCCAATGCTCGACGTAGCCTACAATGGAGAAATTTAGAAGAGCGTAGATGTCCCTGCCAAAGTACAAAAAAGGATAAAGCTCTCGGCGTTGATCAATCCCCTACGGATGCGCCATGCATTCGACTTCATTAAGCACCGTTTGGAGGTAACTGAATTCATATCTGGCCTTTACAGTGACTCGCGGTGGCCTATCGAAGTATCGAGCCAGTGATGCCATCCTCCCAGACAAGTCTGATACCAATTTGCCAACGCCGGAGGCATGGAGGACTTTGTGAGCCAAGTGCGCGGGAATGGATCCCATGTGTATTGCATGGCGCCTATGACCACTGCGTCACGCGGGCCCCACATTGCGAAAGCGCACCTATTTATCAAGGATTTTCAGTGCCTTATATAATTATACTACTTACCTTGCGAGAAGACAGTTCTTCCATACCAACCAGGAATCTATCTCTGTGATGCGTCGATGAGTTACCTGAACGAAAGAACAAATGAACAGAACTGGAAAAAGGTTGAAAAAGAAAATGAGGATGTAAAATGGATACAAGCAGCCGGCTAATTCAAAGTAGCAGTTATAGTCTATTTACCTTCAGAGGTGCGTACTGTAATTCTGATACTTCTGACTTCACCATACCATCACCAGTCCGTTTCCGGTGTTGTCCCAATCTTTCGGACTCTTCCACTTGTTTGTAAGGATTCGACGAACGGTGAGTTAGTGGAAGCTTATTCTAAAATAGCCAGTGAATAATAGCAGACTCCTCGATGCACTAACTGGGTTAAATGCTTCAGTACACTTTGTGACATCTTCCGGCGTACAAAGGTTAGCCATTCATATGCAGATTCTTTGCCCACAACCTCATTTTCTTTCGTTAGAGAACTGGCAACATGGGTAATATTTTGCGTACTCACTGCCTTCGCTGAACTTTCCAATTCCGTTTGGGAAACTAAATGTGTCATAAAAAACCAAGAGCAGGTGGGAGGACCACTAGTACTGGTAAATTTAAAATTAAAACTCACTTTTAGCACCACTTTCTTCCTCTTTAAAGCCGGTTCGGACATTTTTAGGCGTATTGTTTCGTTTTAACGGAGATGGTCGTAAACTAAAGTTTACTTCGACTATTCTGCTGTCTATAGTCTCAGCCAACGAGTCAGCTGAATCGGATTCCTGACACAGGTTTGTTTTTAAATAAAATCAATGCTCTCGATGTCTAGCAAGGAAGCCAGAAGGGTTACTTTATGAGTGAGTTGTGAGTGAGTTGGTAGTAACGACAATAGATTTCCGTGAGAGCTTGACATTCTCCTATCGAAATCTCTATTCGATGCTGGGGTTTCAATTTTGAGGAATTGGAACTGATCTGGTGATTTCCGTTGATGTGTCGATCGCAGCCTGAACTTCACCATTTAGAGGAGAACCAACGTTGCTTAACAAGGGTTGGTAATTGGCAATTTCTGAATAACCGGATATCTTAGATGGATAAAAGAAACACATTCACCTTGCTGCACTGTTCACAATCCGGTGGCTATCTTCATTGCATGAACTGGTCCTCACAAGACGAGGTGTTCTAGTTGTTCCAAGTAGTGTGCAATCATCGACAAACCTGATAGAAATCTTTAATTCTGGCTGATTTCTTCATTGTTTAATAGTGTGCTGTAGGAAAAAACACAATTTCAGAAAAAAAAAACTCTTGACATAACAAGTCAGACAGCCCTCACAGTCAGACAGAATGTAACAAGTCCTCCTAACGGTTCACCGCCTCATTGTGACTAGATGCTCCTGGGTATCGGGTTGCGATGTACAATGGGGGAACTCACCCCCTCACTTCCTCACCCTCCCCTCCCCCCTCCCCCAGTACGGTCTCCCAAGCTTAGGAGTTCGTCGTTTCCATCAAAAAGCCCACTCTAAGAGTAAACGAATACGAGGAGCCACCATTGTCTTGGTATCACAAACTAGACGCATGGTGGCAAAACTCCCTGTGATCCACGAGGGCGTTAACTGCCTGTGGTGGTGACGACATAGCACAGACTTCGGCCTGGGCTTACCTTGGGACTCCAGGAAAACACTGGAGCTAAACCAGCAAGACTGCGAAAAATGGAAATTATGCTAGGGTCCACACAACCAGTGAGGGCAAGCTGTTCAAGTATCCAATTAAGTAAGTAGTAAACAAGCTGTGGTCAGATGAAACGTACACATAAAGAGTAGCATTGTCCTTAAAGATATCCTTTACGTCCGGATTGGAGCGGATCTTTCTGATGAAACCTTGATCCAAAAACTTTTGCAACAACGTAACGCAATTCGACCTTAAAATACCAACTTCTCAAGGATGTTGAGAAAAATCCAACGAAGTTCATCTAAGTCCGCTAGGTCAACTAATGCTTGTCAAGGCAAACTACTTTACAACTGAAATCGATTGAAAGCGATAGGGAAGTAAATGACTACCTATCAACCTGACGGCCTTCGAAAAGAAGCCTTGGAAGAAGTACCATGAGGAAATCAACAGCTTCTTTACCAGTAAAAGAGTCTTCAAAGTAAGTTAACTGGCGACGATGCCGCTTAACAGGCAACTCTTCGCGAAAATGACGAACAATATTGTTCCACTAAATGGAAAGACATTGTCAACGGGAAACAGAAACCGCTAGAAAATCTTCCCTACCAGCGCTGTCGCTTTGTACTTGCCATGAGGCCCATCGCCACTACAACTACACCTTTCCGATGATTTACCGGAACGTCTCGTTGAAGTGTTTCGGCCGATTGGAGTCGTATCCTTTGACATTCGAGGTCTCTGCAGCTTGAAACCTCCTAATGAATATGAATCCTTCTAATTTCATAGTTCTTAATAAATTCCTCCTCCTAGTCTAATCAGTACGATAGCAAATATGGCATCTCAAAACGAACGAAGAACACACAGAACCGATATACCAATTATACATAATCAATTAACAGCTTCTTAACATTTAGTAAACCAGTAACTTCATGTGGTGAAAAACACGTCGACCTCGAACGCATTCAAAATAAAACTTCGCGCCGTATCGCAACCAAAAAGCGCAGACATACAGTCGCTTTACGTGAAAATCAGGCTGATCACTTCGGGGTTTCTTGTTGCGATGATGACTTCAGCAGTGAGTTCTCATTTCAACAGCAAACCATGGGGATATCGGTTTCCAGGGTTTTCGCTTGTTTGGTTTAATTAATAATACGTGCTTTATCAAAGTTCAAGTGTTCATGTTGTACTGATTACTTGTCTACTTAGAGTTCCTGTGTTCATGTTGTAATTAGGCCTTTAAGGTCTTTGCTAAGTTTTCATTTAATTCTGGCTTTATTCCCGTATTTTTAGGTTGAGGCATTTATATTCAGGCATTTGTTATTTTAAGGTTCAAGGCGTTGACGTAATCCTAACACTTCTCACTTTTCAGCAAAATGCCAACTATAACCTTTCGAACTATCACTCAGTTATCTTTCACAATGGATCTCGAGCCTTCACTAACGGTGAGTTGTTCTGTCATAGAGGTTTGCTCTCTGTCGTTACCGTTCTAGAGATTTCGTCGTATTTTCTTTTAGCAAACATAGGAACATGCTTTAATTTAACGTGTCGTTCAAATTTTGGAAAGTTGTTTGTTTTGAATTCCTGCTTGTGATTGTTTTCTCTTTCTCTTTTCGTTTCCTTTAAAGTTCAAAGATTTTGTTAACATTTAAATCCGTTAGGTGGCAGATGTTAAGAAGAAAATCGCTGAAGAGAAAGGATCGGACTATGCAGTTGAGCTTCAGAAACTGATCTATAATGGCAAGGTTAGCATTGTTTTACACATTCACAACTGTGTAACGTAGCCTTTATTGCAGATTCTTGACGATGCCACAACGATAGAACAAGTTGACATAGACCCGAACAAGTTCGTTGTTGTGATGCTTTCACGGGTATGTAGCGCTGCTAGTATTTCTTGAAGGCTTATAGGCGCGATCAGTTCCACACAGTACACTGTTGTCTCAGCAAGCAGCAGTGGGTTATAAAACTGCGCCTACTACTCGCGAAAAATGTTTCGTAATGTTTAGAAGAAAGTAGTGGAATCGACGCCTACGACTGCCCCAGCAGATGCTAGCTCCAATCCTTCGCCGACTCCAACTGCTGTTCCTCCTGTTCCTACACCAGGAACGGGAGACACTGCGACCAGTGCTTCGGAATTGAAGTCGGAATCGACAGTAGGTATCGCAGCTTCTACGCCTGCCGACAGTCTAGCCGAGCCCAGTTCTCAGCCTGTGCCTTCGCAACCATGTTGGTTTCCGCAAACTACTGTTGCAGTTTCTTAGTGTTCAAACTTATGTTTGATATTTCGCTTAGCAGATGCTGCGTATATACGCAGATACATACATGTATGTATATAACACATATTTGTATATACATGTGTACATATACATGCAAGTATACTTTGCTTATAAGATGTAACATGCATACATAAATATATGTGTGTATACATATGCTTGAGTATACACAGATGTGTGTTCATATGATGTACACATACGTACACTTTATAAGTGTGTATAAATATAATTATGTATGCAAATGTGTACACAAATATCTCTAAGCATATGATTTATGAGTGCACGTATGTACACACATATGCCGCTGTGTATTTGTAATATTACACCTAAGTTGCGTATGTTCTTGTATATACATGTATGTATGCATATATATATTCGTCATAAATATACGTATATGCATGTGTGTACGTGTATATATATGTATATACGTATACGTATGTAAACATGGACATGTGTATATGTATAACTATCAACTTTCCGTGGTGAGCTTACACGAGGTTTTCAAAATACATTTTGATTTTCGTTGGGTAGCGTTTCGGTCAATTCACCCTTTCTTCAGAACCGGTTTTGTTTTCGAACAGAGATTACACCTCGTGCAAGCTCTCATCAAGGAGCGTTAAGCTAGTTAATTCTAAGGTGCCCCTTATAATCATGTATGTATATGAACATATATATATATATATATATATATACATATATGCAATACGTGTTGAGCCAAAGTTTTCATATTAACCGAGCACATTTAATGCTCTTATCCCTAACATTTTTACTTCTAGTTTTTTTTCCAGTTGCATTGTGTGTGAATGTCGCTATGGTATTTAGGTCTTACTGCTGACCAGTTATCTTCAGTTGAGGCTATTCAAGCTATGGGCTATCCTCGTGATCAGGTACTTAGTCTCTTGTTTTAAAGCCTCAGCTTTTTTTTGAGCAAGCAAGCAATTCCGTAGAATATTTCATACGCGTAGGTCGTAGCTGCCCTTCGAGCTGCTTTTTGGAATCCTGAACGTGCCGTGGAGTACCTTTTGAATGGAATACCAGATGAAGAGCAAATGCCTATTGATGTTGGTGAAGAAGAGGAAAGTGAAAGCGGTTGGTTTTTGCTTTTTTATAGTTGCGTACCACATTCGTTTCAATTTGCGTTATACAATTTATAATTGTTGCAGGTGAAGGTACTGCTTCTCAACTGGAGGCATTGCGTCAGTTGCCACAGATGGATGAGCTTCGTAATCTTGTGCGTTCTAACCCTGAAATTCTGCCTTCTTTGATTCAGGTGCGTTTATTTCTAGAATAATTTTTGACCGTTTTAGGTAGGAAATGGCTTACCGTCCTTTTAAACTGTCATTTTGTCCGCTCCCATTTTGTTATAATCTTTGCCACTGATTCACGTCAGTAGATTCTATTTTCCAAAGGTTATGAAGCTACTACTGTCGTTAGCATTTTTACTGCTTTTCAGCAAATAGCAGCTGTGAATCCTGATTTAATGGAAGTTATTCAAAACAATCAGGAAGAATTCTTACGTATTTTAAATGCAGCACCTGGATCTGGAACTACTCAGGTACTGACTTGGTTCAGTCAACTCTTATAACTATATGGAGGTCCTAATATTGTTACTAGTAGTACTTATGCGAAATTGGTACTAAAGTCATTCATTCTATGATGTTGTTGGTTACCTAGTTTGACTGTTGTTTGTGTCGTTTTCTTGTTCAGCAATCGCGAGGTTTTTAAACAGCATACATTTACTTCCATAAAAACACAATACAATACAACGCTAGCTGACGTTTCGGCAGTATCGCCTTCTTCAGAGCCGCTTTTTCGTGACTTCCAATGAGGAAGTTTAGAACAGCTGATTATAGTCGCATGTGGTTGACGACTGACTGTTGTTTTTCCTACCATTTTATCGGAATGTATGGTGGCAAACAGACTACAATTACAACTGTGCCATCGGAGCAAAAAGCAATGAATACTGTTCAAATTTTTATTAAGTCGTTATATCCTTAGTGTTAAACTTATGTTTATGAATAGAACTACATTAAAGGTCGAATAGAACCAATTCTTATTTGGCGTACTCGCGGATTCTATTATAACTAATAGCTTAGGATCCTGTTAATGGGTGATCAATGCTTGGTTGTTAAATTGTTATAAATTGCTACATTATGAATAAAAATGGGATGCAGATAGTGTATTTGTTGAGCTGTCGTTCAATAAGAGCAAGGCCATCGTTTGACTCGAGAATATCCGCGCAGTATGTTGTGTCAGGTCACTTGAAAACACGAAAAAAAATGAAGAAAAAATCAAACATAGGTGCTGTCTTCATTGTGGTTAGGTCCCAAATTACTGTGTTTATCATGAATAACGTACAGGAGGTACAGTTGTAAATTTCATATCGAATCGGTTCTTCGGACAGAAAACTCTGGTTTAAATTGTAACAAGCTGCCATATTAATCAATAAAGGCAAGTGCTAAAGACTAAGTAGAATTCTTTTGGATGACTTTTTCCTTTATGGAAACACTTCTTCGTTATATATTTTTTTCTGTCGCAGGTGAATTTTCTAAACCGGGTTACCAAAGTGAGATGCGAGTTGATATTTCTTAATTTAAACTTTCTGATTGGAACCTTTCATTTGAAATTTTTTCGTTCCTCTTCCTTTGAATTCGTTTTTATTTTATGTGTTTGCGATTTTAAATAGATGTTTTATTTAAGTTAAATTTAACACTTTTTAGCCCTCTGCGGAAACTGAAGCAGTATCGAATCCTAATCCATATTCTGGACGTCATGTTATTGACCTTACCGAACAAGAAGCAGCGGCCATTCAACGTATAAAATCAATGGGTTTCCGAGTCCCCGATGGATTAATAATCGAGGTCTTTATGTTTACTTCTTTTTTAGGATTTTGCTTTCATTGCCTCGTTTCATTTCTCAGAAGCCTTTGAAAGTATCTGGAAATGTTGTGCTCCGTATTTATGAAAGATGCCAGTATTTGTCATCACGTTGACATTAATATCTGTTTGTGATTGGTATTAATCTTGTTCGTTGGGCGCACGTAGCGTAGTGGTCGGGATACCCTGCAATATACGTGGGATCCGATCCCGGCGCCCCAGACGCACCAAGCTCTCCATCCCTCCCGGGGTCGGTGAATTGGTATCACACTTGCCTGGGAGGATAGCAGCACTGGCTCGATACATCGGTAGGCCACCGCGAGTCATTGTAAAGCCCAGATATGCATTCAGTCACCTCCAACGATTTTGAATGAAGTCGAGTGCATGGTGCGTGCCTCAGGGATTTATCAACGCCGAGAGTTTTATGCTTTATCCATGTTTATGACTACTTTTGTTTCACGTTAATATTATTTTGATACGATTAGTATCACAGCATAGTTCATATTGATTACGTCTAGAACTATTAAAAGCGCAAGTGCATTCATTTTAATTTTGATGCTTGTGTTTGTTCACTAATTTTTTTTTCAAAGCAGGAAAGTTTTCTTAACATGACATCAACAAATGAGAATTTTCCCAATGAAAAGTTACTATTTGTAGAAGAATATGATAAGGAACCGGTTAACGTAAGAATTCTTTTGTACCATTCTTAATCTGTGGTAGTCAAGAAATTTTTGACTCCATTAAATCCTTTGTTAAGGGTCTCTAGCTCAATATTTTCCAGGCATACTTGGCATGCGATAAAAATGAAGAGATGGCCATAGATTACATTTTGAACAGAATGAGTGTAAGTTAGCTTTCACTTTATTTGTTCTTTTTGTTTTTTTTCTCTTTTCTTTATTTTAAAGCAGTTTGTTTTTAAGGAAGATGACATGTAATCTGCTTTGATGGCAATCTTCATGTTAAGCCATTATGATGAATATCATGGTTCATAAATTACTAGTGCTAATTTTCGCAGTGAATCTCCACTGCGCCATGAGGCCTACCACTTATGTAAAGGACGTTGTGTTTTGTCTAACATCAAACTGAAAGGTCCGAGCTTCATGTGGTCTTCATTTGACATTCGGTTCTTTTTTTTGTTTGCGTTCACTATACTGGTGTTTCATGTCACATTTGGAGTGTATTTTATATTGTTTATTGAAGTGGCGTTCATAATAAATTTAATTTTATGAAGACAGCTCTGTATTCATTGTAGGTGTTCAAAAAATATATCCATATGTTTTTTCATCGGTTCTAGTTAACTCCAAAAAAGGGAATAATTAAGATGGATACCGAAGAAGCGGAAAAGATACAAGAGGAAAGGAAGGAATATGTCAAAAACATAGGCATAGAATACCGATTTGGATGCTACGAGGTGATGCAGTCTGCTACCTGCATATTTAGTGGTAATACTAATGAAAAACTGTGGTTGCTTCTGCATAAATTTCCATACTTATCCCTGCTCGTGGTTTCACATGGTCATCTACTGTTGGGGCCCGTTTACAACACGGACTTATAATTCTATGTACTTAAGTCGAAATTGGGGCAAAGAAGGGGAATCTAAGCTTTTTCTAGGCCATGTTGTAGGATGGCGGTGTTTCCATCAGGAAGTCCAGCTAAGACAACTAGTACCAGGATCCACCACTGTCCTGGCGTCAAACTAGTCGCAAGGTGGACCCACTGGCGACTGTCTGCCCTGGTGACGATTTGGGCAGGCCTTGTCTAGACTGACCGCGGTACTCCAGGGAACCATAATGGCTAGTCTAATAAGACTCTGAAAAAATGGAAATTTTACTGGGGTTCAGACAACCAGTTTGGGTGGATTATACAAGTAACCAAATAGGTAAATATATTATGAGGACACACTTCACTCGTTTGTCCTCAGAAACTGTATGTGTATGCAGGAGTTTATGGGACTTTCATGATGCTCAGCTAGGGAACTCCCATTGAGCCTTGAGTGTACTTCATGTTCACAGGGGAAAGATTCTTTTCTGTCGCTGTTTATGTCACATTAGTAAAGTAATCATATTAGTGGCAAACTATGTAATGTGGTCAAGTACAATACTGCAGGAGAAGCGAGCTGATTCATGCCAACTACTCGGTGAGTACATGGAGGCCATAGAGCAGAACTTCAAAGCTGCGTACACCCTATTCAAAACGAATTGCGAGGAGCGGAAGTATCCGAAAAGTTGTTATAAATATGGCATGTATCTCCTTACAGGAAAAGGTGAGTACTATGCTTGAGTAGCAGTTCTGTTAGAAACATAGTCGTTATCATATTTGATCAGAATATCCGTTCAGAATGTACCCCAAGTTTGACGAAAATGGTTGAGCCAATGCAGATTGCATGCGATGGAGAGGTGAAACAAGGTTGCAGGTCGAATCGTTTCCTGTTATCTACCATCCATCTTTTCATCTTCTAGCAGCATTTATCCTCTCAACCGTTTACCGCCTCATTGTGGCTGGGAGGTGTTTTTGGGTTTCGAGCTACGATGTACAGTGGAAGGATTCATCCTCCCGACAGGATCTCCCGAGCTGAAAAGGGGTCCGGCGTTTCCATCAGGAAGCCCAGCCAAGAGTAAACCAATGCCAGGATCACCTAACGCCCTAGTATCGAACTAGTCGCATGGTGGCAAATCTCCCTGTGATCCACAAAGGCGGCGACTGCCTGTGGTGTTGACGACCTGGGCAGACTTCAGCTAGGCTGACCTTGGGTTTCCAAAGAACCACAGTTGCTAAACCACAAAATTCCGAAAAAAATGGAACTTATGCTGGTGTCAGCACAACCAGTGAGGACGGGCCATCCAAGTATCCAAGTAGTCTTCGTAATTGTTCAGATATCTAGCACTTGTACACTGGAATGGAGAACAACATCGACCTCCGGATTCTCAGAGCGCGGAGAAATACATGAAAAAGTTGGTCTAAACAACCTGCCTTGATGCTTAATGCTAGTTGTGGATTTCATGTGCTTGTGTATGCGTACATTTTAGAGCATGCGAACTGGAAGATGGTGAAGCATGTTGGTTATTAAGTACCTGGTATATGGGAAGTAATCAAAAATTTCGCATTGGATCGAAACGTGAGGTCAAGGTACCTTTATCATTTTCCAATGCGTGATTTTTTGCATTGTACCATGTATGATTCAGTATACTACTAGAATTTCCTTAACTTGAATATTTACTTCCCTTAGACGGGGTGTGTTTTCGATAGTATGGACGATAAGTCATGTGGTAATCATGCCGGCTACTCAGGCCCGAGGCAGACATGTCGGGTGCCCTGATCTGTTAAAGTTTGTGTGGAAAGTCAAAGAAATTTGTACGAAAGACGGCTTTTTATTGTTTACCGAGGAACCTTTTCGACAGCGTCCATGTTGGACGACCTTTCAATTGGAGACAAAAGATGTAGAAAAAAAAAACCGGCGGCAAAATAAACAGCGAAGAAGGAGAAACGTCGAAATACAAGCGTTCTTGCGCTCATCCTACCTGCTATTTTTGAGTCATATATGTCTCATGCTGCGCATTATGCTTAGGGAGCGTGGAGATCTCAGTCACCTTTTCCCTTATTTTCTTAGTCTTAATGCCACTTATGAGAATATGATCCTTCGTTCTTCATCTTCAAGCGCTACGCCTTCATCGCTCTGACCTATGTGGATTGTAAAATTAGAGAACTTATCAGTGTTAGATAACACAGATAAGTTTATTGGTGGGACTTTTCAAATCAGCTGGGCTTCTTTACTGGATTCATACTCATCATAGTGGAAATTACTCCTTTTTCAGGAGTTAGACAAGAAGTCTCTTGGGTCGCTCGAAAGAGACATGTGTAAGTCATTGAAGTATGGTATTAAAGCATGTGAACTGGGAATTCCTCAGAGCTGTGCTAACGTAGCTCGGTGAGTTATACTGTCGTTTGACAGCGTAGAACGGAAAAAATAGAAATACGTCATAGGGATTAAATTTTGATCATCCTCATCTTCTAGAGGTCGTGAATTTATACAAAAATATTACAGAATGTATAAACTAGGAGATGGCATAGAGAAGAATTTGGATGAGGCGAAGAAATATGTGGATAAGGCTACTGAGCTTATAGAAATCATGAAAAGTCGGGAAAGTACACCCGGATTCACTGGCTAAGATCTACGTGTTGTGGTAAAATTTGAATGGATAAATAAGATATGAGGTGCATGACAATATTTTATTAACATTCACAGTATTAAGTATTGATTTCAATCCGTATGTAGATCTGCCCATGTATGTGCTTTTATTCCAGTGCCATTTTCATTACGGTTATTTGTTTTGCTGTGCAAGATCACTTTGCAGTGTTTTTCATTCTTAGTAGGTAGCTTCCTTACTACCACACATGTTGTATCGGGCTTGATACAAGAAAGGCTATTTTGTTCAGAAGAATATTTATACCATGATGATGTCCAGATATTTGAAAAACTCCACACCGATGGTATCTGCGGTAGGGAGCGAACGCGCTGTTACCTTTACCAGGGTCCAAGCCATGCGGGTTCTTCGTTTCGTCTGTCTTTTAGCTAGTTTTCTGTTTATCCCGTTGACGGATGATTGCTGATGGCACCGGTATACAGAAAACTAGCTGAGAGAAAGGCGAAAGGAAGGACATGCATGGTGTGGTGGAGAACGCATTAGCCCCCCGGAAAAGTAGTAGTGTGTTCGATCTCCACCACATACAGCAGCGGTCCGGAGTCCCGCAAATATCTCAGCAACGTTGTAATTATAATGTTATACCATTTTATTTTCTGCCTACTATAATTCCGCGGCAGGGTACTAAGCGAAATACAACCACAACGTTGCTGAGATATTTGCAAAACTCTGGACCGCAGGTGTCTATGGTGGGGAACGAACGCGCTATTGTCCTTTCCGGGGAGTAACGCGTTCACCACCACACCATGCGGATCCTTCGTTTCGCCTGTCTCTCAGCTATTTCTATCGATCTTTGCCACAGCAATCACCCGTCAGCGGGATTGATGTGGGGCGCCCAAATCGGCATAGAATCCAGTTAAGCTGCGGCTGTAGTTGAAATCACAACCACAGTGGCAAAGCTCGATAGAAATAGCTGAAAGACAGGCGAAACGAAGGACCCACATGGTGTGGTGGTGAACGCGTTACTCCCCGGAAAGGACAATATCGCGTTCGTTCCCCACCATAGACACCTGCGGTCCAGAGTTTTGCAAATATCTCAGCAACGTTGTGGTTGTAATTATATTTCACATAGTACCCTTCCATTAAAAAAGTAGTAGGCAGTAAATGAAAATTGACGACGTTGTGATTTATACCACAGTATCAGCTTAGCGGGGTTTAATGCCGATTTGTGCTCCCCAGGTCATTCTCGTTGACGGGTGATTGCTAATAGCACCGATAGAGTGAAAAAAAACATGGTTGAAAGGCAAAGCACGAGCCTCGGTTGTTGTGGTGGGTAGCGCCTGATCCCGCGGCAAGGGTAGCATTTAAATCATTTACGGAGAACTGCTTTCCAGACTTCATCTAAGTCTTGTGCTATCACTGCTCATTGTGTGGAAGCTAGAAAAATCTATACTCCGCTGTTCTTATTTATTGATGTTTCAACACAAACTTGGAATGTGCTTTTAAGCCATACAAAGTCAATATAAAAAGGTTATTAAGCTCTCGGCGATGATCAATCCTCGAAGGATGCACCCAATTTGCCGACTCCATAGGGATGGAAGGCTTGGTGAGCCTAGGCGCTGGGATCAATCCCATGTTATGGGGAGCATCCAACCATTGCGCCACACGCGCCCAAAATCAGTATATTTCCACACAATTTATCGTTAGAAACAATGGAAGTTTCCAACACTTATTCTCAGAATATTCCACCGACTTTTAAAAGTATTGTGCTTAGAGTTTTGTTTCGCAGTTTACAACTTTTACAGTTAATATACCTAATAGATCATTCGGAAATTAAGGTCAGGTTTCAACTTGAGTTTCCAGAATAGCATATCTCATCCCAGAATAAATTTTATTAGTCGAAATAAGAGCTATTTGAATCCATACATTTTTACCCACGAGGGACAAGTTTGACGTCCCAGGAGCGCCGACGATACTTCGAAATGCCGATTTTTGAGTTTGCTTCAATTCGTACTGCATCGATTTCTCGAACGTCTTCATTTATCCAGTTTCCTTTAAAAGCACCGATAGAATTGGAAGGCTTACACTAAGTTCTTTTGGAAGTTCTCAAACTGTTGTGCATATATTTGCTTCCACCACACCCTTCAATTCGTCGTCGTCATTAGCAGAAAGATGTACGCGAACTCTCTTATCAACCAAGTCGAATTCCCCATGATGGAGTTTGCCATACAAAAGTCGCATTGTGTTTTCACTAATACTTCTTTGGCTGCATACCTCATTAGTATTTCAAGACGTTTCGGCTGAACTAAGGGAGAGCTTAAATACGGAAAGTGAGCTTTTCGAAATTGCTGTTTTAACGTCTCAAATTCTAGGCTGTAGAGTAAATCAGAAATGGAATTTGTACTACAATTCGAAATATTACAGTCTAACTAGAATGATGCTGAGATACTTTCAAAATTTGCATCGCAGGCCAGATCGAACCGCGATTGCCCTTTCCGGAGGTGTACGTGTCACGCATTGCACCGCTCAGGCCCTTGCTTTGCCTCTCGCTGATTTTTCTACCCATTAATGGAATTGATCTGGTGCGCACAAATCGGCATTGAACCAAGTTAAGCTTAGGCTTAGGCCAACTTTTGCGAATATTTCAGTATTATTGGTGTTGCACTTGAACCAAGTGCAATTTGCACTTTTTATAATCATCTATAAATCAGTCTAAACAGAGAGGTTTGCTACATCTTAGCAGCATCTGATGCTAGCCGTGTTAAAACTTTTAAGCATATCTGATGTCGTTGTAGTCTAATAATTCTTCGTAATAACGGGCACAATGTCTCAATTTTTTTGGCACTCGACCAGCTGCTTCCATGACATCACTAATCGAGGACGTAGAAACCTTCCTACAACTTTTCATTTGTTGAAATATCAATTCTCCTGTCTTCAGTAATGCTACATGGCTTGCTTGGAAAGTTCTTTTTTATTATTCCTGTACGTTACAGTTAGATAAATTTTCATTTGGATCAAGTTCCCAGTTAGAGTATTATATATCATTACCGATGGGCAGATGCCTTCTTCACTCAGGAAACCATCCTGAGCTTCATCACCACCAGTTCATCTAGAATTTTTACTCTGCAAGCGTTCCTACAATCCTGCTTATGTAGCCGAATTTAGTGCACAATTTCGAATAAGCTTTCCATGTCAGCTGTAATGATGAGATAAGACATGCGCTTTATAAGCGACTCTTCAGTACACACATCTCTGCTAGATTTAAATATTCTGTTCCAGTGCCTATTCACATGTTCGACAAGTGGACTGTAACGCCATGATTTGTCAGTCCTATGTGGGCTAAGGAGGTTAGTCAACAATCTTTCATATCTATCTATAGTTACAGGTGCAATAAAACCTTTTACATAAGGTGAACAATAATAGAACAATAATTCCTCAATATTAGCTGTTTAATAATTCATATCCGAAATCATAGACCGTAGAACGATTTCATCTTTTCAATAGATTTCAATAAGTTCTCACAAATAACCGTTCTTTCGTCCACGTCTGTCTTTCTCACAGATAGGTTCCAAGTTTAGATAAATGAGTCAGAGTAATGCATGAGTCAGTTCTACTACGGTTTTAAGCAGATCCGCACCGTGTTGACTAATCACATTGGAGATCCATTGGTCGTTATCTATCATGCTTTTTAACCACCATCGGCCGATGTCATTACCATCACCATCACTCATCCTCCAATTCTTCAAGCCCTTCGACCTCATCTTCCGATTCTTTCAACTCTTCAAAGAATGTAAGAATCTTCCGGTTATCTTCATCTTCACCAGTTTCTTTTCTTAAGATTGAAGACCAATTTTTCTCCCGTAAATCTTTCTATAATCAAATATAAAACACAATTGTTTACCAGCAACTCATTACTGTTTTTCTGGCAATTGCCATATGTCAATGTCGTACGGACGAGAAAGGTATGAAAGGTACGAGAAGGAGATTTCCTAAAAAGTATGGAAGATAAATATCCAGAGGAGTACAGACGTATAAAAGAGAAACGGAAATGGACGGAAAAAATATGTGGAAGACAGAATTTAAGAGACAACTTCCCGTAAAAAAGTGGTCCATTATAGAGCATGACAAACGATGCGCGTTGATATCAATGCGTACGCAAAGGTGAAAAAATTGGTGATATCCCAAGTCTATGCCGTCGAATAATAGACATCGCGTGCTGAGTTTATTTTTCACGGATCATTTTTTTCTTGGCTCAGGGATTATTTTTTGCAAATTTATGAAGTTCTGTTAGTTCCTCATGGAAGATTTTTTAAAATAATAGTCAAATTACTGAAGTGATATTTGTCAACCCCATAACTGGTGAATTTATAAATATTCTCGGGGATAAAAATGTGCCACCCCGAGTAAATTAACCGTTTTGAAAGAAAAAACAGCCGATTTGCTTCAAGTATGTTTTGTAAAACTGAATGTCACGTTGTCCAGCTGGTTTCAATGGTTTTTATTGAAAATACTGCGGTATTTCTTAACGATAAAAGCGAAGTCCTAGGTGGAAGGAAGTTGAGATCGAGGAGAATCATTTGATGAAAGGTTCATTGAGTTGCTGAGTTGTACAGGCTTCACTGGCATATGTTTCTGACCGAGTTTTCTACATTATTCTCGGTTGGAGCTACCTGCATCTGAGCGATCATCGCTCACGTCTAATCACCACATTATATTCCTGTGGATTTGTAACGCTCTTTTAAAAGAGTTGTTTAGGACTATGATGTTAGTCGTAATGTGAAAACTATAAGCACTACTAGAAGAACGATGAGCGGAAAAATTGAAATGCTGGTAGGAGGTTTTTGTCAAATTTGAAATTCATCGGAATGATGATTCTGTGGCGGCGGAAGATAGCAGGCTGAGGGAAAAGTCGTACGCGTGGGTTAAGGCGTAGTGGAAGCTCGCCATTCAAATGCGTTGCCAACAGATCCTGAATAAGTACTGCATAAATCTAGATATTTGCACGAAGGAAGTTGTGTATTATCTTATCTGGTAGTACTTCTGAAATATGAAGATGAAGAAATTTCCTAACGGTTTACCCCTCAACGCGGCTGGGAGTTGCTACTGGGTGTCGGGGTGCGATGTACAGCGAGGGAATTCATCTCCTCGACGAGGTCTCCCAATTCCATTCCGGCGTTTCCATCAGGAAACCCAGCTAAGAATAAACCATCAGTACCAGCATTCACCATCATCCCGGTATCAAACTAGTCGCATCGTAGCAAATCTTCCTCTGATACACAAGGGCGGCGACTGCTTCTGCTGGTGACGACCTGGGGCAGACCTTGGCGAGACTGACCTCGGGACTCCAGGCAAACATAGTGGCAAAACCACTAAAACTCCGAAAAATGGAGTAGTACACTGGGGCCCGCACAACCATTGAGGACGGGTCGCTCAAGAATCGAAATATCCAAGAAGGTGAAGAAATGTGCACACTTCAAAATCCGGCTCTGATGGAGGTTTTAGTTGTACTTTATTCACTTTGCTTGAATTCTATCTAGTAGCTTTATTTAGCTCTATTCACCCATTTATATTCTGAACTGTGTGCTTTTATTGACGAATTTTCCACTATGACCAACCTCTAAGTATCTTTGCTGTTTGTTGAGATGCTGCTCGATATCCCTTGAAATGCTTGCCACCTCTTCAGAATCGCTGTGTACGTTGTATGTCTGTAAGTTATCAAGTGTTGGCAATCGGTCGGTTGTACGTCATAGTGACATGCAGGAATGTGACGTGACATCTACCAAGTGCCGTCCCGTCATCAAACAAATAACATGAAATAGTTGTGTCATGCGGCTTGCGTTAGTGATAACGCCAGCATACGAACTGAGTTTTGAAATATGTGTGGAATGTATTCACCGCTAAAACTAACCATTTCATAGTCTCACTGTTTTCAGTACATCTCAAATGAAGCGACGAGTGCTAACCTTTGTATGAATAATCTCATAACGTGCCATCCACTGGTAGTATCCATTTTCTTCCGAAAACTCGACATTAAGCTCCGTAAGTTGTAAGCACAACACTGTTTCAAATTGAAGATACGATATGCGGCGTTGAGTACGACGACTCTCAAACGAAAGCACGGTGCTTAGCGAGAGATGTAGAATGGCGTGATCATGATGGATTTCAATGCGTGGCGTAGAAATTACGTGGCTATCTAGATGACCTGAAACGATGGTGAATGTGATAAGTATTGTAAGCTAAACATCCAGCACTATTTCTTCTCGGCAGCTGCGGAAATTTAGAAATACTAAATTTTAAAGCTTGTTTCCTACCCACCGGTTCCGTTAATGACGTTAAGATTCATGTAGTGACCTAGACAAGCTTGGTCATCACAGTGAGTGCTCAACATTTTCTCGATATCTGGGACGAGATGTAGGTGGAATACGATGTTTCCGCTTTGTTTCAAATCATAGAGCATCTCATTGATATAGTCCTCCCTGATGGAGAATGATGCCATTTCGCTTTCTACGATTGCCTGAACACAGAACATTGTTGCTTAAAGAAAATCAGAACGCTTAATCAGTTATCTGTATGCTTCCATCATTATCAGTACAGTAGATGCATTTCTTAAAATTTTTTCAAAGATGTTGGCATACCTCTGGATCGATGGCAGTGGCGTCTTTAGTAGGTCTCTTTGCCCTTGGAATGCATCGTTTGAAAGAGATTTTTGCTCCTCGAGAATTTAGTCGGGATAATGTGCTTACATATCGAAGCGCACACATAGGAGGTAATCGTTCCTGTGCAGTTAACTTTTATTGAGGGCTATGTTTCGTCTGAACTCAGTGAAAATACTTTGGGATCAATGAAGTCCTCAATGGAGGCTATCGATGTGATGATGTTTGCTGTTTTCTCTGCGAAATGTGGTATTGCCGGACATAGGTTTTCGTGAAAACGATGTTGCAGGCGTTCCCTAAAAGAAATATATTCTTCGGAATTCTACGACGCACAAATGTCGTCAGTTAAACTTGGAATGTATTGAAACTAACTTTAGAAGCTCGATGATTTGTGATGGCATTGTGGGAGTGAATTGTACCAGCACTTCGTGAAACTTTGCGTCACAATATCTCTCGGTGATCTAAACCACCACTTGATGTTTCTTGCTCTTACATTGACAACTGAGGATTTTCAGTTATTTTCCAAAGTCCTCTTTTTAGCATTTGTCTACAGAATATACCAGAATGGTTAGAAGTTCAACTTGTTACTTTTTTACATGGTTGGAGTCACCTACTTTGATGTGGTTGTTGTTGTGAAGCAATTCGATGTCTGTGAGAACTTGGAGATTGTCTAGAAGGGCTTCAAATTGACCCTCCCTAGTCGTTTTGTAGAACGTTGAATAAAGTCCAAGATAACGCATTCCTCCACCGTGAGTTTGGAATCGTATTTGAGATACATTGAGACGCTAAAGAGACAATACAAGTTATTGATATTTTAGTGATAATTACCTGGATATGTTTTAACATTTATTTTTTACCCAATTTTTTCATGGAAGGGTACGATGTGACATACAACCATAATGGTGTTGAGATGTGAGCAAAAGTCAGTGCCCCAAATGGGCATCGAACCCACAATTTCGCCTACGGGGGCTCATAAGCTATGTACCACACCAACCGCCGTCCTTTACGTTTTTCTCAGCCATGTTTTTGCTCTATCGGTGCTCTCTGCAATCACTCGTCAACAAGAGTGATCTAGGGAGCGTAATTCGGCATAGAAACCAGGTAAACGGAAGCTGCGGTCACAATGTTTTAATTTTTATAGAACATGATGAACAGCACGTGAGCTGCTCGTAGCGGAGTCGTTGACTCGAAGTCCATTTGGGGTTTCGAGTTTTGCTCGTATCTCAGCATCCTTATTACCTGAATACTTTAGCGACCTATGATTACGAGTGATGTAGAGCACAGCTTATTTTCTCGTTGTTCTTCTTGTGCTATCGACATTTCTAAAAGTGCTATGCTCGGAACGTATTTACTCCCGCGAGGGTCATTCCGTCTTCTATAAATCGTTTCCAGTTAACACGATCCCAATCACATCCACTAATCTTATAGATGGTCATCATAGAGTAGAGCTGTATCATCTTGAAGTCAACCCCACGGTTCTTTTTGTTCGCTTGTCGTCAAATCTCATTTCATGACTGACCATATGTGTTTCGCTTTCAGTATGCATTCCCACGAACCTTTAAAATGGGATACGTTTGGAACGCGCTTTTTGTCCAAACACTCTGTATGCTCATTATATTTCACGAGGCATCCTTAAAGTGCTCTATGGTGGTGCGCAGAATGTTCGATGTGGTTGAAGTATTATAACATCCGCTACGTAAAATGGCACTGATTATTGGGTTTAAGGGGTGTGTGCGGGTTTTCGGCGTCCATTAGCTGGTTGGTGGCTTCTCTGAGGGCCTCTAACGCTGCTTTTTTCTCTCTATTTCTTCTGTTTAGGTCTTCCTTCATGATGTTCTCCATGTTCATGGGGCGCCCAAGGTTCAATGCAAGGTGGTTTTGTCATGAGAAAACTGATTAATTCGACTAGATCGCTTTGAGGCTATTGCTTTTCTATGAATTCGGCATTCGTCCTATTCATGTGGAGCCTCAGTCTAATCTCTTTTACCGCTTCGTCGAGCTCATTGAGCATTATCTCTGCTTCGTTATCGCTTCTTGAAAAGATGACGATGTCGCCGCCAAAAAGATTTTGTACGAATTTCCCATCAATACCTATGCGCTTCTTGTCCTTACCGAGTGACGTCATTAATCACTTCAATGCGGCTACAAACAGCTTTGGTGAAATCGTTTTATATTATAATGCCCGTTTTCTATGTGAATGGCAGGGAATGGAAACCGCCGCCCTTAGATGGAAAAGCTGAATTTTCATGGTGCAGTTACGATAAAAGTCTACTAGACTTCATATGAAGGGCGAATATCACAGTAGTAGTGATGTCGGCCATCACGAGCTTGGTGCCAGTTCTATTCCGCTCCAGCCCAACCGAGCCTCTCATCGTCCGAGGTCGAGAAATTGGTATCGTGTTTGTCCGGGAAAAAAATCACTGTCTGCAATCCAATTTGAAACGCTCCAGCCCGGCTATCTCATGACTCCAGGGAGAATCGACTCGACCAGCATTCTACGACATTAAAGTTGAAACGAAAATCAAGCAGCAGCCGAAGCCACACGTAAAAGTTGGAAGACTTTGTGGATAATGGATGCGAGGAAACAAATCGAAAGTGAGATGTGCTGGGATCCGCACAATAGGCGTGAAGACGGGTCATCCAAAATAAAAAGGTAAAGATAGAATTCATACGTGGTACGTGTCAACTCCTCGCCGACTGGTACTGATAGGGCTGCATTCATTCATTTTTTCGTGACAAGACTGTGGCATTTTTATTAGATACGACACATTTATGACATTTTTATAAAAACTACCATGTTGAAGTGTTTAGCGTGCTGTCTCACTGTTTTCACTGTCATAAGATCCCATTTGAAAAAGGAATAAGCTGTCCAAAGCATTACTATACTGTTAATAAAGTTCACCACAGCACTAGTGAGCCACTCTGTTAGAAGGAGAGCGTTTATGTGAACGGAAAATTATACTCAAAAGCTCTTGTTGCTGTGGATATATGTTTTGGAAAAGTATCAATAAAGCACGGTTGGTGTTACAAGAACAAAGGAGGAATAATAACAAAGGATACAAAGGAGAATTAATAACAAAGGAGGAATAATCGAACTTTGGCTCTTTCAATGTTGGATCGACGAATCAAGCGCGAAGGCGGGTTTCACGAGTACTGATGGCATCTTTGGGTGTACGAAGAGAATGCTGGAGTGGATCATAAGAGGGTTGACATCCTCAAAGCAGACCATATTCGATATGATGCAATATGTTAGTGTGGTGGCAGAGTTTGCGAACTTCTTTATTATCAGCACGGATTACTTTAATGGATTGCGAGAGTACGAAGCGAATTGAGATCGTTCTGGGAGTCGCAGAACTGGTAAAATCGGTCTATGTAAGAAATGTAAGAATACATAAATAATAATTGATGAGTGCTTTAATTTGTAGTGGAACAGAAATTATTTGTTCAAATTTTTTTTGATTGGGGGGGGGGCAATAGCATAGTGGTTAATGATGCAATCCATCAGGAGGGAAGGTGCTGGTTCTACCCCCTCATACGCACTCCTCCAACCCACGTGGAAACACCTTAGCTCTGCTATCTCCAAGATTGCAACCACAATAACTCGTCCAGCAATCTAGGACACTCGCAAAGAAGACGAATTCCTCAAGAAGCAGTCAAACAATGCGCGATATGTTCGAAGACATTTCTGGATGGTGAATGTGCGGAAAACGATTCGAATACAAGAGGTGCTGAGATCGAATGACATATGATGACGGTCATGTAAAAGTAAAATGAAACATTTTGTGTGATCTATTCTCTGACGTTGGCCGTATTTTTTCAGCATAGACGTGATCGTTAAAACTAGTGATATACCTCGACTTCCAGTCTCGGTGGCAGAAAGTCGACGATTTCAATCGAATCCACATTGATATCCATGCCGTGGTATGAGGTGCGTATACTGCGAGGACGATGTCTCATGACGTCGTGACGAATCGCCAGTATCACTTGCTGAACGAGTGAAATATTCAAAGCTTTCTAATTTTTAAATATCCAAAGTTTCAGCACCGAAGAACTACAATAATGAATTGGCTTCCACTTTTCTGTTGCTTAAATGTTTACTGGACAACTATCCAGATGATTTTTCCTCCAAATTAGGCGTTCTATCAAGTAGAGCATGTTATTGTAAAGTTGATTAAAAACGGTTAAATTAAGATAAACTGTGATAGTTCAGCCTACCTCAAGTAGGTATCTCATTCCACTCTGGTAAATCCTTAACGTGATATCGCCATTGATGTTCTCGGGAATTGCTAACTGGCTCATGATGGTCGTCTCCCACTTCTTGGGTTTTGCTTCTTCTTCGTCGCCTATGTGCTCCTTAATCTCTCGCCTCAGTTTCGTTACCAGCCTTTCCATGGATTCGTAGGACAGATTTTCAAGGTTAGAATAGTCACTTCGGTTTATCTTCGTGTTAACAGTGGTGACGATAAGCAGGAAATAAACGAGTTCAGTTATTAAAATTTGCATATTCTGTAACAGACAATTGTTTGTTTTTATAAATCGTCGACAAATCAATTACAGTGTAAAACGATCGCATCTTATGGATAACGTTTATTCTTCAGGATGAATAAAGAGAAAAACGAAATAAATTATCGATTAGCTGGTTGCAAATTATCGACAGGAGCCAGAAGCTGAACCGTATTAGTGATGTAGCAGACAGCAAAAAAGGCGTTAGAGCACCAGAACCATACCGACCTTATCACTCCGTGCTTTCATCACTATCAAGACCGATCTCAGCTCTGTTTTTCTCAGTTGTCAACAACTGTCTTAGTTTGTTTTTGTTCTGTTAAAAAAAATCAAATCGTTGGGGTTTCACACCACGTGATATCAACGAATGAGTGCTTCTGATAGCATGCTTTCCTACAAAAACACGTCCGTAATCAGTACCACTTTTCAAATAGACTCAGTATAGTGTTACGACGTGTAGGGTTAGTACTTTCATTGTCAAGCAACTTTCTTAAGGGTATTGTTATTCATTCATATTCATCATGCTTGCACCTGCAGTGATTAGTGATAGGTGTGAACTAGTTAGTTTCAAAGATGAATGTACGGTAGAACATAGGAAAACTTAGGCTTGGTCCTCCTTTCATTTTTGTTGGTGCTAAATTTCGCTCAATACCACCTGAATAGTCTGTTTTATATGAGCAGCTAAAAAAGATTTGAGGAAACCTATTCTAGGTGAAAAAAGTACATCAGAAGAAAGTGAATGTTATGGGTCACCGTTGGCTTCTAGATGCAGCAACTTTTGTGGCCATAGAGGACAGAGGACTATTCGTATGAAATCACGGTCAAAACTGTAGATTTATGGTTTAGATTGCAGAATACCGTAGTAAGGAACGTGGAGATGTGGTTAGACAAATGTTTCGGTATATTAGGCAATGTTTAGCCGCGCCTGTTTTGCAATAATATTTCAATACCGTATCTATGGGCAGGTTCTTTAGTTCCGGAAATAATTCATTACCACGTAACCGAATTCTCCTCGGCAACACCTATCATTTCTAATATACAGATAGTGTTTACATAACAATACTGGTTGCGGATTGTTTCCTGCAAAACTGGGTGGGACGGTCAATATGGTGACGCCTATTCTGTTCTTAAGCACTCACAGCTCTAGCGAAGACGATCAGAGCATTCGGTTTCTAATGAGATCGACCAGGCTGTGTAATGTTCGAGTTTTTCTTATTATTTGGTTCATTATGTCATTTCAAATCGCTTAAGAACTCGTAGCAATCATGGTGGTTTGTTAGAAATGTGCACTGTTTGGAGAAAAATTCAATTTTCCCTACACTTCACCCTTCTCAGCCATATATCTTTTCATTGTGAGACTTAAAGTTTGGATGAGTTCGATACTACAGTTTTCTAAGAGCAAGTATATTTTGAAAACGACTGGATATCAAAGACGCTTATTCTGACAAGATCATTGTGCTAACAGTAAGTTTTTAGCTGTGATGGACGCATGTCGTCCATCCAGTGACGGTACGCATGTCGTCCATCCAGTGACGGTTACTCAGCAGGTGAATAAAAGATGGAAATCTCCCTGTCATCGTAAACACGTCATTTTTTTCGAACCGGAAACGGAAATGATGAATGAATGGGGTGAGATTAGTCACCAGTAGTGGAATGAACATTTGTCTAACGGGAAAGATGGCTATGGACAGAGACTAACATGATGGTTGGTGTAGCTTTCGGATAATCTCAGTTATAACTAGTTACCTTTCAACATGAGATAGCTCTTCTGCTTCAGTCAGAAAATAGTAAGAGTGGTAACACAGAGTGGGTTTTTAGGTGGAAGAACTGTTCACCTTTGTACAAGAACGAGTTCATGGAGTTATGATTAATCAGAATTACTCTAGCAACATAGCGATGAATTCGTGGACCACAGACGTGAATAGATGTTAAGCTTAACTTTCTATGAAAAACGTGCCCAACAAAGTTAAGGGCTTAATCATTAAAATCGTAAACTGAAGTTATCATTGTCAGCAAATACTTCCAGGAGTAGCGGGAACTCTTAGGATTCTAAGGGTAGATATGGTGAATACTAGCGTGCGCTGTTCAAGAACAACATACAAACGATAGATTCTGAAGCTTTTGTGGCTTCCATTTTTCTAATGACCTCTTTGATTTGGTGTAACAGGAGTGTAGAGATACTGGAGAAGCAGAAGATTGTTATGACAGAGCCTTCTACATTTGGAACTGGGTTAAAATGCCATTCTTTAAGATCTTTTGTTCTCCGAAATCAAAAGTCAAGTTCTTTACTCTCGTTACAGCTGTCCGTTTAGATGGCAAAGTTGTATATCAAAGAACTACGAACATTTGAAGACCTGTCATCCTCTCCAAGTTATGCTGATTGGATACAATTTATTTTCATGCTGTTCAAATATTTGGCATGACAGCTGCTATTTCTCGGGCGGCATCGGTTCTTTTTAGGGAAAGCACATTAGCGTAAATTTGTACTCCCATCATTAGGAGAACTGTCTTTTTCCGGAGATTTATTCTTCCGAGCAATACCTGACAACGATAGAAGTGTTCTTTGACACGTCTCTTTGCTTTCGTCTTCTTTGTTCTAATTGAATACACGTGTTACGTGCATGAATGAAGACAGTGTTATGATGGTTGTTCACCTGAAATGGAGAACGTAGTTGTAAAATGCTCTCTCGCAAAAGCAATCGTCATCTTCCAGTCGTGCCCATCACCGCGGTACAAGTTGGATACAGTTTGATCCTGACCCAGTTTTTCCATACGTAAGGAGCGTGATTTTCAGCAAACAGTCTTTTTTTTTGAAAGACATTAGATGTCTCATGTAAGTCGTTGATGTGAGCGTACGTGATAGGGTGGTGTCGTGCCGAGCACCATTGGAATATCTACAGATGCGCTTAGTACTCAGGTAACCATAGAGTTCCCATTCGTACAGAGAGGGTGAGCTGGTAGGAAAGTTGTTTACGAAAGACGGAACGGCTTCGTCATCGACTACTGCAAGTTCCCTGCAAGTCTACGTATATAAATCATTCGGAACTGAAGGAATAAGTTCACAAGGCAAAGCAGATTAGAAAACACATTTATGTTGAAGAGAATCGTTAAGCCTTTGTTCTTCTGAGGTGTGTATTTAGGAAATAAGGAAGTTTTTCATTTAAATCATTAGTCATTTTATTTTTATTTACGTTTTTATGAACTGATCTTGTTGAGCCGATGTGTGGTTGGTATAATTGTCGTTGTTGTTGTTGTTGTTGGTCGATGGCCGATGTCTCGGCGATTTGGCCTTCCTCAGAGCAGTGTTGAGTCCCACTCTCCATTCTGCTCTAATAAGATCAGTTCATAAGAATGTTTAAATAGATATATCGATCGTTTATGCCGAGATTTATAGAAGGTCGATCTTTTGAGTTAAATCAATAGTGTCATTCTTAAATTTCCTCGACAAATATTCGCTCAGACCTGACTGTGACGATTCCTATAAATCACCTTCAGTTGCCTGTTTAATGATTTAGTTTCTTCAGTTCTTATTATGTCGCTATTCATTTTACACAACTGGGTGTATCGTGAATCTGAACTAACTCTTTTACGTTAAGGTTACCCCGTCAGCAGTGAAACAGAACAATGATATTTGGTGCAAAAGAGAGAATCAACTGTGAAAACAGGACATGATTGTTGCTGTAAACTAACTAGAACTGTGAAGAAATGTCACATACTTGAACAGTTAAATGAATCACCTTCAAGAAGAATCACTTCAGCACCACCAAGATTTGGTTTATGTTGGTGTCATACCAATTTCATCAAGGCTTCCTCCTTAGAGTGCGGAAAAGGATGAGTTGTGACTACTCCATGTCGTCATTACAGTCATTTGTCGAAGCTTCTTAATCAGGAGAAAATTTGTCATCTGCAACGAAGTTTCTTCCAGAAAAATTGCGATTCCTGTTGGCTAGGATTCCAGATAATGATGTTAGAGAACCATTTGGTTTAGGTGTCTTTGCGGAAGATAACCCAACTGCAATGCATCGAAGTACGACGCTCAGGAACACTTCCCAGCCATTTGAAGGTAAAAACCTATCGAAAAAGGCTAGAGGATATTATTGAAAGTAATTCTCAGCGTAGTAAAATCTCAACTATCTGCGCATATTTTTCATGGAGCACGTACGACGTTTTAGGTTTCTTTCGTGCCGATTTCGTCGGAGTTCGCTAACAGTTCACTTAAAAATAAATCTTATTTGCATTTGTTACTTGCCTTTAAAGAACAATGGAAAACTGAGGAACCCAATACAATTCCACTCAATGATATTCTTGTCCTTATCAAAAATACTTTAGCTGTTTTAAATGGTACAAATCTAGCCCTTTGCAATTCGTAAATAGGAATATAACACCTTTCCTAACGATTAGGCTAGGGTTGGAAAAGTTGATTGTGGCAGTTTACTTTAATCGTTTACATGGATAGTGTTGCCTTATACGCTTTCATTCTCAAAGTGAGAAGATTTGCGCTGTGTCGAAGACCTTTTGGACTCGGACGCTGGCGAGTGAGTTTACAGCGATTGAAAACTTATCAGCCCTCTATATAGCTATTCTATAACACCGTTTCTGATGCTTATAGGTAAATCAGTTTGCTTTCTATTTAAGAACAGCTCATTATAGTTTTGTATTCAATGGTTCATTCAGCGTTGGATGTCAAGGAACAAGTTCTATTTGATTTGGACTAAATGCCCAGCATTTGCCTGCTCTCCTGGTGTTTGACCGACTAAACTTTTGTCTACTTGTCCATATGGAAAAATCGGTGGATATCGCCGACACTTATGCATTAGTTAGGGCGTACTTGATGAGTGTACTTTCACAAGGTGAACGTGCAATCCAGATATATTGTGCCCACCCATCAG